CCAGTGTGAAGGCATATATTAAAACAACTAGCAACAACAAATGTTGGCAAGGATAGAACAGAACTCTCCTGCACTGCTGGTGAGAATACAAACTGGTCCAACCACTATGGAAAACTGTCTGGAGGTTTATCAAACTTTTAAAAATGGAGCTTCCATATAACCCAGCAATCCCACTCCTAGGTATCTACCTAAAGGACACAAAAACATTGATTCAAAAGGACACATGCACCCCTATGTTTATTGCTGCTGTATGTACAATAGGGAAGATGTGGAATCAACCAAAGTACCCCAAAATAGATGACTAGATCAAGATGTGGTACATATACACAAGGGAAGGTTATTCAGCAATCAAAAAAGATAAACCCATGCCTTTTGCAGCAACATGGATGGAGCTGGAAGCAATAATGCTTAATGAAATAAGCCAGAAAGAAAAAGAAAAGTACTGGGTGGTTTCACTCATAGCTGGAGTGTAAGGGATCAGGAAAAAAAAAAAAAGCAATTATAGTAAAGTAAAAATGAAAAACAACAAACAACTATAAAACAGAGACATTCTATGGGGTGACATCTTACAGTTATGAATAGAATCAAAACTTGGGTGGCACATGGGTGAATTGGTGGTGGGAAGTTCACGGTTGATTACAACCAAGATGAAAATGCACAAAATGAAGAATGAAAAAAAAAAAAACTTACTGGTTATACCAAAAAAAATAAACCCACAGGCTATAAAATGGGATGAAGATCATGAAAATATCAGGCAACTACACTGAGAAGTAATGAAGAAGTACTGCAGTTAACTGAAAAAATATAACTGAAGGTCTTAATACCAGACAAACAGTATCAATGGAGAGAATGAATTTGAAAACAAAGAATGAAACTATTAAAGAAGAAACAGACAACAAATAGAGCTTTATGTTATAATATCCACTCAATACATAATTGGCAGAAAATCAGCAAGGGTATGGCAGACTTGAACAACACTGTCAACAAACCTTACCTTACTGACATTATTTAGCACTCCATCAGAAAAGCAAAATACATATCCTAAGAACATTCTTCAGGATAAACTATATACTGGGCCATAAAAGTCTTTAAGAAATTTAAAAGGATTGAAATGATTTAAAGGATATTCTCCAACTATAAACAAGTTTAAAATAAACAAGAAACTTGGAAAATCGCCAATACTAAAAAAAGAAGTGACATATTTCTAAATAGCCCATGAATCAAAAAAAGAAATCATAAGAGAAATTGGAAAATATTTTAGCAAAATGAAAACAAAAACATAACATCTTAAATTCAAGAGGTATGACTAAACAGTCCCTAGAGGGAAATTCATGAGTATAATTACCATTTTTTAAGTTATTTTTTGGTTTTGTGTAGAAGAACTGGGGAGTAGACCAGAGGTGTAGGGAGTGGGGGGAATAAGAGGATTCACCGGAGACAGAGTGGGGAGAAGAACAGGTGGATTGACTGAAATACACTGCTGAGTGGAGCAGCAGATGAAACAGGTCTGCTATGTCTCCCTGGCTAGGTATCAAACTCAGGCCGAAACTTAACCCCTAGACCACAAGGGAGGCCCAAATAGCTTTTTGTTGTTTAGTTACACCAGAGTTACCAGCACTGTTGCCCTGAATTCCCTTTCTGTCATGCACTTCAACTCCACTGAATCCTGCTCCTTTCAAGTATAAATTAGGAAAGAAAGGTTTCACATCAATAATCTGTTCCTACTTTAAGTCTGGACAAAGGGTAAATTAAACCCCGAACAGACAGAAGGGAGGAAATTAAAAATTAAGATGGGGGTGGGGAGAATTAATGAAAAAGGAACCAGAAAATGGAACCATAAGTTCTTTTGGGAAATTTTTTTAAACAAAATTGAAAGGACCTTAGTTAGGGAGGGAGAGAGAAGGAATGAGAACATAATACACCAAAATCAGGGATGATAGAGAAGACATCAGTACCAATCCTACTAAAATTAAGAGGATTATAAAAGTAAATTGTGACCAACTTTATATCAACAAATAAGACAACTTAGATGAAGCAAATTTCTTAAAGGCCTTACTCTATCGGGCTCTCCTTGGTGGCTCAACGGGTTAAAGCACCGCATTATGAAGCTCTACCAAGCCACTGCAGCACAAGTTCAATCCGCCGGGGAACTGACCCACATGGCATGGCAGACCTCTCTTGACACGCCCACTGCCCCTTCAGCAGTGTACTTTGTCAATTTGCCTGTTGTGCTTCCTCCTGTCTCTGGTGAGTCCTCTCACCGCCCCTGCACCTCTGGTCTGTACCCTAGTACTGTATGCATAAATAAATTTTTTTTTTAAAGCCACACTCTATCATGACTGACTAAACGAAGAAAATATAATTTGGTAACAATAAATGGAATTATTACTTAGAAGTCTGTCTCTCCCCTACCACCACCACCACCACCACCACCACACACACACACACACACACACACACACACACACACACACCAGGCTGTAATAGCTGGCTTCAATAGGTAAAGTCTAGCCAATACTTAAATAATGCCAATCTTACACAAATTATTTCAGAAAAGACTCAAGAACTACTTAACTCATCCTGTGAGACTAGGACTATTCCTTTACCAAGCAACAGAAAGATACCACAAGAAAATAAAAGACTAATTGTATCTCTTGAATACATACATGAAAACCCTTAGCAAAATATCAGTAAATGAAACTCATGTAATAAACATATAATAAAGATCAAACACCATGATGAAAGTGGGATTTATAGAAACATATCATCTATAGGGCTCCTGACTCTTCTGTTCTTTCTATTGATGTAAAGTTGGTTTATGCTATTGCATCTTTGGGGCTTATCAGTTCAAGCCACCACAAATATATTTTCATGCCATGCCTATCACCAATGCCCCAATAATCCTCTACCATACTCCACTTGGCCTCACCTCATCCCTCAATCCATACTACTACACTTCCATTGTGGTTGTCTTAGTTTTGTTGTAAGAGTTAATTACTGGTTTGGTTCACTGACCCTTAGTTATGTTTCTTTATGTTCCAAATATAAGTGAGACCAACTTGTATTTATCTTTCTCCTCCTGATTTATTTTGTTTAGTATTATCTTCTTCAGTTCCAACCATGTGGTCACAAATGGCAAGAGTTCATCCTTTTTGCTTTTTTATAGCTGAATAATATTCCACACATACCACATTTTTCTGATCCACTTCCTGTCCTTGGCACCTAGGCTGTTTTTCCAAAACTCACACGTCAGACCAGTATGAATCACCATTGGTGGCTTGGCTGAGCATAGTACACAAACAATATAGACTTCTTATAGCTATACATAGGGTAGAGGAAATAATCTATTCCTACTGAAATAATAGATAACAAAAAAATAATGAATTCCATAAAAGCCGGTGGTGCAAAAGGTTGAAGCATAGCAATATGAAGCTATCTGTGCCAGCCACTGTAGCACAAGTTCGACCCCCAGTCAGGGAGCTGACCCACATGTCATGGCAGATCTTTCCTATGTGCCCACTTCTCCCCTCAGTAGTATATTTTAGTCAATCTGTCTGTTCTGTTACCCATTCTGTCTGGTGAATCCTTTCATACCCATCCCCCACACCTCTGGCCTGTATGCCTGTACCCCAGTTCTTGTACACATAAATAAATAAATCTTAAAAAAAATACTATAAAAGTTATAGAAAGCAAGATTTTCAACATCAACCTTGAGGCCAGGGATTTAAATACCTGACATGGATTTAAAACAAAGATGAAAAAGTAGAGCAACAATGAGCTAGATTTTCATTTCAAATATCTAGGACATGGGATATACACAATATATCCAGCATGGACTACGCACCATCCAGATCCAGGTGGAACATAATTTTATCTCCTCTAGGGGTGAAAAATGATAGTCTCTATAAGCCAGAAACATTTTATGCGAGTGGAGAGGGGATCAAAACTGGGATGGGAAGAGCGCACAGCACTATGGTGATGACACACGGGTAAATTGGTGGTGGGAAGTCCACGGGGATTACAACTGCAGTGAAAAAATACACAAAATGAAAAAATACACAAAATGAAGAATGATGTAAAAAATAAATAATTAAAATTAAAAAAACATGATTGTTGGAAAAAGGGTATTTTAACATCAGAAACACAAACAAAACTTTGCAAAAAAGGAGTGTTCCTTTCTCCAGTTGCACATCAACTCAAGCACTGAAATTCAGCGTTAATTTTTAGGTTCACTTCTAGTTTCCTGCTTTTGGAGATGGTTTTCTATAGGAGGATGGTGCATCTTACCGCCCATCAAACCCAAGGAAAGCCTGGTGGAAAAATATACTGGATCAAACTATAAATACTGTGGTAAGAGATAAGAGTTACTGTTTTCAGGAAGCACTTGTGTACACTGAAAACTTGCATATTCACCTCTAGGAACCAGTAAAAGAAGTAGTGTCGAAATAACAGCATTTAGTTGGTTGTTCAATTTGCATGCATTAAAATTACAAACTCAACACACAGCATTAATGTTAGCCAATTCTGCACTATAAATGGATATAAAAATAAAATGCTTCAACATCTTTGCTATATAACAAAGTCCATTATTTCCATTTTTAAAAAATATTTTAGATGAGATTATAAACCACCAAGAAAGTCGCTGGATATCATAGGAGGTTTGAAATAACACCAATGTCAACTAAAGACTCAGACTACTATTTTAAATAATGAAACCATTAGACACAGCTATGTTTTATTTACATAATCTGTGCAAAAATCTCTTTCCACTAATTAAAATCAAAATTTTAAGTAGTTATTTCTAGGAAAAATATATCTCTAGTATGTCTAACTTTTCCTGGAAATTCCTCATTAAACATAGCTAGTCTCAAAAATTAAATTTTTCTGATTATACAAATAATCCACGTTTATGTTTTTTTGGGTGAATTTAAGCACGTCAACACATTTCTATATTATGCATTACAAAATAATTCACAGCAATTCTACAGACCATACGCAAGTTTATTTAAATAAATTAACACTGCACAGAAAGCTGATTTGTAAGTATAAAAATAGTTTCATCACCAAATACAAGCACCACACAGAAACAGATTACACATACACTATCAGGCCTTTAGGATATTAAGGCGATCGATATTAATATCTCAAGTAATTTTATGAGAATATTTTACTCATATAGCTGCTATGAGAGCATCTCAAGATAGGCAGAGGCCACAACTTCCTCAGTATGAAATCTTCCCTTTCCATTTTCTTGTCAATATATTAATGATTCTCCTTAAATACTGTACAGCACTTAGTCTAGATTGACAAAGGGACTATCAAAGCCACTATCTTGTTGATCAGATAGAGGACCAATTAATTTTCTCAGAGGCCGCTGGCACAACGAAGATGGTACTAACTTTCGATGAAATGGGTGGCCAAGAGTCAGAGCGATCTTCCCTGGCTGGGAATACATATTTTCTCCGGTCAGGTCTGTAGCATGACCCTTCTGACAGTTCATGGATTGATAAATCACATTTTCCTCTGTATCTGAAAGACAACAGGTTGCTGGAAACTGCTTGAAACTGAGAGATTCACTTAGCGTATCCGGAGTCCCCTGCGACCCACCATGTGGAAATGGCACTTCGGGGTTGATGCAGGGTAGAGTGGCGCTGTTGGAATGCCAGCCCTCGGAGTCACTAAGGTCCCCCCCTTCTTTTATTGGAGGTTCTGGAACACCTGAAGTTTCACTTTTCTCAGATGTAGCATTTTCACTCTCTGTTAGTGGATTACACTTATATACTTTTAAACCAAGTCTTTCATCAGGACTTCGAAAGTTTATCTGTAGGGATCCAGATTCAGAGAGGGCCGGGGTATATCTAGGTGAGAGTTTACTTCCACAGGACGCAAGAAAGGGGTATGCAGCGGAATGTGGAAGTGATTCAGAGCCCGTGTCACAGAGGAGGCCATCCTTCTTGCGCAAACCAAAGCCTCTTTCACCTTCGCAAGGAACAAAATCAGGAGAAACATTCTTTGGCAAAATATCTAGGTGTTTGCAACTGGTATCCCGGAACCGAAAATCTGAGTGTGACCTTGAACCCACATGCTTTACATCCCCATGCTGTGCTTCCTCCAACCTCGTTCGCAAGTTACAAGCAGCCTTCTTCTTAGGGACTTGGTCACATGGACTCCCGCAGGTAGTTTTTACACCGTTTGTTCTGCTCTCAGTGTGATATGGTATATTCTGATTCACATCATCTCCTTTTGATTTTTCGACTCCAACCAGCATCTCTGAAGTCAGAGGCAGTGCTACTATATACAAGGGAACACAAAATTAGGGGAATAAAAATTAGGAGAAAATTAAAACCGAAAAAGAGAAAAAATTGTTTTTAATGTGTCCACAAAGAGGGTGCATATAGTTTATGCATTCTCAAAGAATATATACCAGTGTTGGACATTTGAAGATTTTCTTTAACATAACATTCATTAGATAAGGCTAGGACAGTTTGCTATTAAAATCTGGTACATTTATTACTACTAGTATGCTTGTTTTCTGCAAAAGGTGTTACAGCATGTCAAGAGCCAATTTCAGTGTATTCATTCCTTCTGTTTCAAGTATGCAGTTGCTGATAAAGGCAGTTTACCATAAGAATTCCACTGTCCAACACCTATTCACCTAGGCACAGTCACACACACAGTGTCAAAGCAAGTGTTTCTGATTTAATCAGTTAAGCCACTAAATCTGATTAGAGGCAAAGCAGCATATAAGCAGCACTGGCACCATCTCAGTGTTTTGTTCTGACAGGTCAAGTGCCTTGGTCCATGAGAATGATTTGTTTCTTCTGGGTACATTATTTGCACACTGCTACTCTAAACCTTAACAACTTTTTTCTTGTTGCATGTCATTGTCCTTTTATATCCAAAGTTTACATCTTCATTCCAAAATTACACAATTCAGATTTGTGCTTCTATTAGAGGAACGTTATGAACATCAGGTTGTGGATACCTGAACAGTTCTTGCTTCAAGCTTCCCAGGAATTCAAAAATTCCCTTCCTCACAGATAGGTTTAAAAGTATCCAGTATGATCTGGAACTGACCAATTTTTTCATTTCCACCAGCTTTTGCTTCATATATTCTAAAGCTACTCTCAATGTACAGGCAGAATTCCTTAGATTCCACATATAACTGAAAACATATGATATTTGTCTTTTTCTCACTTAACACTTCGTTTAGTGTAATGCCTTCAAGGTCTACCCATGTTGTCACAAATGTTAAGTTTCCATCTTTTCATGGCTGAGCAGGATCTCCAGAGTGTGTGAGTACACACCACGTCTTTTACGTCCATGCATCCATCAATGGACACTGATCGTTTGCATATCTTGGTTATTGTAAATAAAGTTGCAGTGAACATTGTGGTGCATTTTATCTTTCCAAAGTAGTATCTGTAGTTTCTTTGGATAAATAATCAACAGTCAAGTTGTTGGATCATATGACAGTTCTATTTTAATTTTTTGAGAAAAAACAAGAACAACTATCAATGCAAACTAAGCGCATAGAAACAAAACTGGCGATTATCAACAGAGGGAGAGAGGGCACATACAAACTCCCTATAATACCTAGTCATGGGGATGTAATACAGGCCATGGTGACTAATTAGTAATATGCTGTGACATACTGGAAAGTTGCAGAGAAAATAAGTCTCATTACACAAAAACATTTGTAGCTACATATGGTGATGACTTACAGTGGTGATCATTTCAGAATGAATACAAATATCGAATCCTTATGCTATACATTTGAAATTAATGCATTATATGTCAATTATACCACATTTAAAATAAAAATAAAGTACAAATTTTATCTTACCCTCCCCTCCAACCTCCAGCTCCACCAAAAAAAGAAATCATTTATAACTTGAAAGGTTGTTCATTTATCACTGTGAACACCAGCTTTGGTCCCTTTTATGTTAACTCTATTTCAACTAATACTGTACTCAACTCCATAATCTTCTAAAATTAATAATACATGTCTGCATTTTTAAAAACTTAAAGCTGTAGTCTTTTAGTAAGTTTAACTTATTTGCATTTAATGTAATTGCTGATGTTCAACTTACTATTTTCCATTTAAACATATGCATTCTATAGTATTTTTCTTCTTTATGTTTGACAGAAAATAGTTTCTTCTATGTTTCTTGCATACTAGTTCAACAGTTAAATATTCTATTTCCTCACTATTGATTATCCTAAAGTCTTAAGAATTCTTTTTACTCATACTTAAACCTGAATTTTTATAGGAATGGCTAGAGTTAACAGTATCTACACTGTCTCCTTGAAAACAGTAAAAATATTCTGTATCATTATCAGCAAGTACTATGCTTTCTACAAATTCATGTCCTGTTTTTTCTTCTATGAATTCTCTCTCCAGCTCTTTTGTTTCAACTTTGTCCTTTTTGGCTTTCTATAAACATGGTCATTCTTGATTGAACCTCTATCATTTAGATGTCCTGAATACGGTATCAGTTTGGACTCCTTTTCAAAGGAACAGAACAGAGTAGGAAGTAACAAACTGCATGGTAAAAAGATGGAATAGTTGGTCCTGTGGGCATGTGGGCTCTCAGCATCTCCATGGTGAGGCAGGTGACCAGAAGTACTGCCCTCTCTGCTCCTGGTTTTTACCCCAACCAACACTGGACTTGGAGCTGTGAGAAGTAGTGACTGCCCCTGGCTACTGTTGCTCTAGAACACTAAGTACCCCACTGGAGTAATCCCCTAAACCTACTAATTCTGGAACATTCTACCTCTGTATGGGGACCAATTTTGACATTGCTCCTACTTGTAGTATCCTTTTCTGAAAGTTCTCCATTTTCTATCTTATGACATCTGCTTTCTTTCAGGGGTTTCTCATAGTTTCAGACCCATGAATCAAATATTTTTGAAATCATTAAATTCTTCCTTTCATCTTTTATTTAGTGCTCTAAATTTTTTTCTGCCATTTCTAGGGTTGCAGACAGCCATAGGAAATGACAGGTAGGCTCAGTCTACCTATGTGAACTGGAAACCCTGTACTCTATTTTGTTAAAGTTTCCAGTTTAGGTAAAGCACACAGTTGTATAAATTAACTCTCACTCCTTATCCTTTCTGCTGTTTTTCCATTAAAGGATTAAATATCTAAAGTGAAAGAGGGAAAAAAATTCCTCAAGCAACTCATTTTAACATACCTGATTGTGTAGTTTTGCCTTGGGATTTATTAGAAGTAGGTGTTTCCAGCAATTTTGCCATTGTAGCAAGTTTGCTTGCAGCATTCATAATCTTTTTCTCAGCCCTGTGGGGTATTGCAGAACATTAAATTGGTACAGTTTGAAGGAAAAAATTAGTTTCCTTGGTCCCAGGATTTCTGGTTTCCTATTAGTTCTTCCAGCATTTACAGTGGCACAACATAACCTCTCTCTGAACTCCCAGGGGCCAGTGATCATGTAGAAATAGTTAATTTTGCGGTCAAGGGAAATAATTCGAAAACATGTGCCTGGTACTCTTAGGACCCACTCTTTGTTTACACTGAACCTACCCTTCTGGTTTTCCATTATCCTGCAAAATCTGTTGGAGACAAGTCAAGTAATATTTGCGCATCTTTCGGGCAGTTTCTTGGCGTTCTCGTAATACTTCTTCTTTTACCATTTCTGCAGCTCTTTCCTTACTCTCCTGAATATAACGAAGCATATCACCTGGTGGAGGGGCAGAGGAACACCCACATAATGTGTGTTTGTTAGCAGTTTTCAAAAGCAGGGAGAGGCAGGACTTCAGATCCATTTTCTGAGAGATGAAGTGCCAGGTGGCATATGTTAAAAATTGTACTTTTGCACAGTCATTGAAATTGCACATATTTAGATCACCATTGTGATAGACTCAGAGGAAAAGTAATCCAAAAGTTTCTCCAGGGTAGTAACAACCATTCTATATTCATGATGTAAGGAAACACAGCATTTTCCTAGGGACATTTTCTCATATTCTGAAATACTGAGCAAGAAAAAAAACACTACAAATGAGAAAAAAGATCATTCCAACTGTACATTACATTCAGTTAAGAAAAGGAAAAAAATAAATATACAGAAAGGGTAAGGCAGAGAGAAGCAAACACAGAAAGACAGGAAGTAATATGAACAAACTTGTATATAAGAAAGATTGATTCTTCTGTTTATCTGTGCTCTGAAAACCCATATTTCATTACTTAATCCTTTGCAGCATTCTAAGTATTTAAATAAATATAATAATATAATCCACGAGTGAAATGTGCAAAAGGCTCTTTGAAGGAGTGGTAGAGGAAATAATGTTGCTTTATATTATATTTAAATATTATATTTAAAAATAATTCACAGCGTTCAATTCTCTTTTTATCTTTAACTCAGTCTGCTTTGATTGGGGCTAGTCTTAGTTGAGGTTCACATTTTTTACAAAATGCAGAGCTACATCCTATACCTGGAGTATCCCCATTCATCACATAAGGATCCACTCATAGAGGAATCTCCCTGCCCTTGTTATCAATAAGCTTGTCCTGAACACTAGATGTAGTTTGCAAAATACTAACTGGGAGACTATTAGTCATTATTTAAAGTGAGAAGAACTTACAAGGAGTACTACCAATAGAAAACCTGTCACCAATTCCTAAATTATAAGACAATATACCCATACACACAAACAAGTAGTCATATTTTGAATAAAATATGCTTAAAATGTTACTTCCTCATTGATACAACTTAACAATAACTTACTTTCTTTGTAGTGCCAGCAAGAACTGAGAAAGTAAAACTTCTTTACTGATACTGAGTAGACTTTTCAAAACATTGACACATGATTCTACTGATATACTAATTATATTCAGAAATTGGGGCCTTTCCCACTCATTTGATGTAAATGAATGCTCATCTAGGAGATTAATATGCATCTGTTCTTTGCAGACACTGGTTCCTGCTCTGGACACATATGCATTCTATGAGATGCTCTAATGAAAACCTAGGTGGTAGTCTACTGGGAAAACCAGAAAGAAGCTCTACAGCACATGTCACAACACTGTAAGGACTCCATGAAGAGATTTTCATGTACCATTAAATCCTTTATCAAAACAATGAGAAACAACAGGACAACAAACCAAATCCACTTTCTGTGGTTTTTAAAGTTTCTGGTAGGGGAAAAAAAAAATAATAAAGGAAGTAATAACTGCTAGTTTAAAACTCAGGTGACATTTTCTCTGCTATCAGTTTAAACTTACATTGTAAGATTATGAAATGTTTATTATGAATGTTACCAAAACGTAAAAATAACTCTGCAACTCCCAAAAGCTATTACTTGGGCAAAAGAATTTGTTATTGCATAATTCAGGAAAGATATCGATATTCTTATCTAAAAACAAGTTAAAAGCCCAGAAGAAGGCAATTTAGAAAAATTCCCCCAAATTACTACTTCTAGTTAATTTTGAATGTACATTTAAAAACAAGGAGAACAAAAGGCCCACACCACCCTTAAAATCTGGAGTGTCTTTTTAGGGACTTACGCTTAATTTTTTTCACAGCTTTAATATACTGCCCTCGAAGTTCTTCCAAGGCTCCGCCATGGCACAGCAGACAAGCATTTTCAATGGCCCCTTCTGATAATGACCTAAAGACAAAACAGAGATTGCCAAAACAGAGATTAAAAGTGAACATTTTTATTTGAGAAAATATGTATTTGTATATTTTAATAAACATGTGCTAAAAACATCATATACATTGCTGTGCAGTTATTAAAACAAGAGAAATACAGTGACAAATAAGTCACGGTAAACCCACATGACACAATCCATGCAACTATTGAAATGCATATTCTAGCAGAGTAATTAATGTACAGGGAATGTTAATCTTAGGTAATGAGTTATTCAAAGATTACAAGGTAGCTTATATGATAATCTCAATATTAGAAACAAGCACATGTTAAAATGTGTATGTAAAAAAGTGATTTAAATGGTAGAAAACTAACACAGGACAGCTTCTGGGGACAGGGCTTTGAAATTTTCTTCTTTTATGAACTATTGCTGTAGAACACTAAAACTGATATTCTTGGTATGCTATCATGATAAAGGCAGCTAGCGAAACTTATAAGTAAACATCTTTAAAATAGTAAAATTCTACCTTGGCGGTGTTTTACAAAGAGTTCTCAGTTCTTCCAATTTATTCTTCATGTCGTTATTTTCCTCTATTAAGTCTTCGACAACTTTATTATTCTCTTCTAAAAAAGAAAATGTGTAGTCCGTTGGTCAATTAATCTTTTTCTCCCCCCTCAGCCTTTCTTTCCCTTATTTCCCAATGAGAATGTTTATAGATGAGACTGAGGTATGTAGGTCCAGTTGTTCCCTTGTGTCATTCGTTCCTGAAGAGCCCTCTACTGATCACTCCCTCTTCTGTTTTCTCAGCACTAAGAATCTGTATTCTATCTTCACCTTGCTCTGAATGATGCACTGTCTGGGAATAGGTTTCCCATCGCTTCATACACATGTGTTTTGTCTTCTCGATGACCTAAAGCTTTGTGGAAACACACTAGATTTATAATTTCATATTCCCTGTTGGGTCCTGGGGAAACATGATCATTGAAGAAAAAACTTGATCCAAAAATTAAGTTTAAGTAGGGGCCATTTTCAGAATGATGACAAGACTGATGGAGTCCATGTAATAACAAGCATGATTTTCAGGGTCAGAGACAGAGTTTAGATCAGCTTTTAGATTAGCTTTGCTTCTTACTGGAGCTCAGGCAAACTGCTTTACTTTTCAGAATGTAAGTTTTTTCATATACAAAGCAGGGATCGTTTATTGTAATTGAAGATTACAGTAGAAATTAAAGAATGTACAGCCCCTTATACAAGGCTTACAGTATCAATGTGCAGTAAATAAATAGGCCCCCATGTGTCTCACTAAGGCACCCTTTCAGCACACCCCATAAATTGGAGAATGAATCATTCACTATTTATCCATCCAATGATTGATATAAACTAGTATATTTTTAAACCACTCGCATGTACTCCATTACCTTTCATAAATGCTACCATGGAGAATGGAAAATGAATTTAAGAAGTACCACATTAACAAAAAATAATATCACCTATTAGATTTACATTAGACAAAAACTGAAATTCAATTATCAAATCACTTAAGTTCTGACCTGGTCCCTGTCATCAGCCACTGTTTTGAGCTAACTATCAATTTTTTTGGGTTATTTCTAAATCTGAGTTATAAACAATATCCTCAAAAAACACAACGTAGACTAATTTTTATGATCAGAGTATACAGTGCTAAAAGTTGTTATAATCCAACTGTCCTTGTCATCTTACATAATACAAATTTTCTTGGTTTTCATGTAATTTTACAAGAACTGTATCACACCTACTTCTACAGTTGAACAAATTTCATTTATTCTCCTGGCCTCTAAAGAGCTAAGTAATTACAGCAGTTGTTAAAAATTTTATCTTAAAATTCATAAAACCCTTTGCCTTAAATTATTACCTCTAAAAAAAGTTATTATCTCTAACAAACTTGATAAGCAGGAGGTGGGTATAGGTGGGGTCTCTGAGTCCACACTATCTACCACATGTGCTATGATGCCAGGTATGAGCTAAGTGTAGGCATAGGACTTGATCCTTGATTCCATCAAGTCTATTCTCCAAAGGAGAATTCACACAATAAATTATTGCAAAGATAGTAAATGTTATAAAAATCCTAAGTGCTCTGGGGGTTGTGTAACAGAACCTAACCAAGTCTGGGATGTCAGGAAAGTCAGCTGAGGACATAATGCACTGGGGGACAGATGAGTAGGATTTGGCCAAGACTGGAAGAAGAGGATAAAAAGAGGAGCCACTAAGAAAGACAGTGCAGTCCAGGTTATGGCTCTACTGAGAGAGAAGGTGAGGGGCAATGAGGCGGGAAGAGCAGGCAGCCTCTTAACTGTAATCATACTGACAGCTCACTGAAGGGCTTTAAACAAGAGCATGTCATGATTCAATTTACTTTTCTAAAAGGGCCCTCTAACCTCCCTATGGAGGGTGGATTAAAGGATAAGGTTGAAAACAAAATATCCCAGGCCTAGAGGTGAATTAGAAAAAAAGTGAATCTATCACCTTTTTTCCTGGTTGATGCAATTATTTGGGAACTTTGCTTACAATTCACCATCATTCAAACTTGTATGACTGTCTGTATGTAAGTAGAGGGCACCATGACTAAAATATACTTTAAAAAAAAAAATTTAAAAAAGGTTTATTTATTTATGCATACAGGCCAGAGGTGCAGGGGTGGTGAGAGGACTCACCAGAGACAGAGGGGGAAACAGAACAGGCAGATCAATGAAGTACACTGCTGAGGGGAGCAGCGAGCAAAACAAGAGATGTACAAGACATATTCTTTATAATCAGGAAACTCATGGATCAGAGAGGGTATCAGGAAAGTAACAGAGAACAGTAACATAAGGGAAGCCAGCTACTAATGGGACCACGAAGAATGACCACTCTAACTCACACTGGGATAAATTAAGGAGGGCTCTGGAGACAAGGCAAATCCTACAGTAAGAGGAAGAATTGACAAATCCTACAGTAAGAGGATTTGTTGACAAATCCTACAGTAAGAGGAAGAATTAGGCTGACATGAGAATGGGAGGGTGTAGTGTAGGGCATAGTGACACCACCATATGCAATGTGTAACAGTTAAAGAAGATTCCTGACCAGTTCAGGATCTGAACTATTTCAAATGTAAGGAGAATAGAGCACAGGATATAAAGGAAGAGAGAGAGTTAAGAGGTAACAGGCACATATGGCCCATTGCATCACATCAGAAAGGCAAATGGAAACGGCAGAGGACCTCACCCTTTAGGTTATCGCCCTGACAGCAAACTGAAGAGTGGACTGGACTGGACTGGAAGGGGCCAGATCAAAACATCAGTCTTGCTCATAGCTTTTCTCTGCCTAAAATGCTGTTCATTTTTGGCAAACAACTTCAATCGCAAATCACTTCCTGCTTGATAAAGCTTTCCTTAACTCTGAGGGAGAAGAGGTAATCGACGCCACTTCTTCCAGGTTTACATAAACCTACTGCCAGTAGCATTCATTCAATGTTGCAATGGTTTTGTGAATCTATTAGTTCTCCTCACTTGATATTTTTCTTAAAGGAAAATATCTGATGGAGGTATGTACACCTCCATCAGAACTGGAATTATCTGATGCATTCACTACTGTGTTCCCAGTGCCTAGATCTCACTTAATACCTAGCCACACAATCAAAACAGAAAGAAAAGCTCAAATTTTCCCCTTCTGTAATCAGTAATAATTTGGTTAGTAGAAACATGGTCCATATGAGTTCACATTAATCCCAAAAGAGAATCAGTGCCTATGTTGACTAAAACGTTACATTTCAACAAGGTGCAAAGCACTAACCTCCAATTTTCTCCACTACGGCTTTGTGTTTCCTTTCTAAGTGCTGAAAATGCCTACAGCATTTCTCCAGTTTTCTTTTCAGATCCTGACATTCCTGCTTTGCCTTCTCAAGTTCTTGGAAGCAGTTTCCACAACATGAATCTTTAATGTCAAGGATCTTTTTCTTACCTGCAAAAATTAAATAACAGCAAATTTTTATATCATTTTAGGCTAAGAACAACCAAAAAAGGGAAGAAAACCAGATAAACTAAAGGCAATAATGTAACAGCTAGAAACATTACGCATAAAAGAAAAAGAACTAGGTTTAAACCTATTTCCATTATTTTCTGACTCTGTAACTCACAGCACACAGTAAACTCTCTGAGACTATTTTTTAAGCAATGCATTGCTGAATAATACCATCTATTTTAAAAATTGCTATAATGCTTAGTACTCAACTCTTAGTGATGAATGCCATTCCCCACTAACAAGAAACAGGAATCTTTAAGAAATGGCCGATTCCAGCAATGGGGTAGGGATAGGAAAGATGAGATAAGAATATTTTGCTGTATGATGGTAAAATAATTTATCATTTTATGTTTAGGGTTATTTGATCCTTTCTCATGAATTCATTAATGTGCTTGCTTTTTTAGGGAAAAAGACTGAAAGGGGAAAAGTAAATCATTTTATAGTCTAATTTGGTTTAGGTCAAAACTAACTTCTTTCATAATTAGAGGACTTCCCAAAGCCAACTAATATCTGAAATTTGTATCTACCCATCTTACTAATTAAAAAATTATAATTCTCAGGTGGCACAATCGTTAAAGCACAGCATTGCAAGCAAGCCATAGCTTCTTCACTATGAGTTAGATCCCCAGCCCAGGAGGTGATCCACATGGCGCAGCGGACCTCTCCTGTCTCACCCGCTGCTCCCCTCAGCAGTGTACTATGTCAAGTTGCCTGTTCTGCTCCCCACTCTGTCTCTGGTGAATCCTCTCACCACCCCTCAACTTCTGGCCCGTGTCCCCGTTCTGTATGCATAAATAAATAAATCTTTAAAAAAATAAAATAAATTATTCTCAGGATATTTCAAATATAAAAACACATATAAATTAAACCAAAAAGTAAGAAGTACAAATTTAGGTAGTATTAACACCGACCTAGTTGGAAATAAAAAATTCTCAACCATCTAGAAACTAAAAGTAAGAAGAAAGGTTCTATGAATGATGAGATAAGTAACTGCCAAATGACCTCTTGGGAAAGGCTGAGAATCTGTAAGAGTCTGGTAATGTTGCCCATTGAACTAGAAGTGTGCTGAAATTAAAATTACTGATTTAATACATATGATTTGCTGAAGCAATTCTTAGTTCTTTTCCAGGTTACAATGAAGACAACAGATGAGAAACAGAAAGAGTATGACACCTTTGTATCTGAGGAAGCAGTGGGTTGTCATGGACAAATTGCCTAAAAACAGATGGAAATTAATAAAGGACTGGCCACTTCCTAGTTCAGAAATCTCAGTAAATAGGCAAGATAAGCCTTACTGTCTATGGCAGCTCTGAATACCTCGAAGGGATACAGCCAGTACACCACAATAATCCCTTTTATTATGACAACTTTAAGTCATTAAGGAGAGGTTAAACCATATATCCAAAGAAGGCAAACTACAAGGATGAATCACATATAAATCAGAAAACAACTAAAAGAATTCAGAAAGATTTCCACTTAAAAATGGCTGATAGGCCCACCGTGGTGGTGCAATGGGTTAAGAAACAACACTGCAAGCAAGCTGCAGCCACTTCAGTGCAAGTTCAATCCCCAGCTCTAGAGGTGATCCACATGGTGCCGCAGACCTCTCCTGACCCACCCATTGCTCCCCTCAGGAGTGTACTTTGTCGATCTGCCTGTTCTGATCCCCACTCTCTCTGGTGAATCCTCTCACTGCCTCTGCACCTCTGGCTTGTACCCCAGTTCTGTATGCATAAATAAATAAATATTTAAAAAAAAACGGCTCAAGTAAGTTTCAGTAATTTGAATGAAAATGTCTCTGTTATTTGGCAACTCTATGTAAAACTCTGGATTTCTCAGTAAAGTAATGGAATAAAACCATGACTCCTCCACTAAAATTCATATTATTCTGCTTATCATATGGAAGGTAGGCCATGGCAAGGTAGAAGTAAGAGTGTTTAAAGCAACCCTGCCTTCTACACACAAATGAAGTCTAGAGAGAGGATACATTAGGGAGGGATAATGGCACTAATTGTTCATGCATAAACTATATGCATCCTTTTATGCTCAAAGCAATTACACACATGCTGGGAGGAGGAAAATTCCATTACCAGGTTCTGCTTCTGTTTCTGGTGAGGCCAAGGGCTGAGTGTGGTGTCCAGAAGAGGGTGCAGGAAGGATTACTGTGGCTCCAGTGTCTTGTCTGCTAGTGACCGCAGGGGAAGGATCTTTAGAAATCTTGACTGCATTTTTCTGAAAGAGATTATTAACTTCATAGTTTGTACCGAGTGAAAAATCTTTACACAATTCTCTATCTAAAATGCTAACATTGAAAATACAAAAGGAATCACTGCTTAAAATATATCTTGTCTCCAGCAGCACCGATATTCTTTTAAGAGCATTACATCAATACTGTCATTACTATGAAAGAGTCTTGTATGACCCTATTTTCTGAATTAGAACATTATCCAACCAATGCCTGGTAAGGCATCTATGAGAAAGCAAAAGATATACTTTATATACCCTATGTGTAATATATAGATTAAAAAAAATAAATTTAAGATAATTTAGTGGTTTGTGTGATAAAATGCAGGACATATTATATGAAACCAGTATTGTTCTGAATATCTCAAACATTTTCACTGCAAAGGGAGTCAGTCACATTTATTAAAAACTTTAATACCAACCTTTTGCCTTCCAAACACTTGTGTTCTGGTTCCTGTTGCTGGCAATACAACTAATAAATGCATCAACAGTTAAACAGCCCTTTATTTTCAGATTTTGGACAACTACTAACTTCACTGTATCAGCAAGAAACAGAACAGGTCATCTATAAAAACTTTCTTGTTTAACAATTTAAAACACATTATAGATGTGTTTTAAATTTTAGATTATAAAAGGCTTTGTTTTGCTTTAAGAGAAATTCACTTCACTGTCAGGAAACCGACCAACAGATGCAGAAGTCGGCAGTGAAGAGAAAAGGCAAAATCCCATCAATGGGGGGGCAATGTGGTAAAGGTCAATGAGGAATAAAAGCTGAACCCAAAAGAAATCAATGGTTTTGGTTTCTACTCAAAATTGGAGAAAAGTCAAGAAGACCAAAAATGGAAGGAAAAAAGCAACCTTTTCAACTTAGTTTTAAGTTGACTTTGGTGGTAAAAAGAGTCATACTTGAAATTTTTGTCCCAATTGATATTTCTGTTTTCTTTTATCCATATGATATGTGGTTTTAATATATTTTGATAAGGCATTCACTTTCCTGGAAAATGCATTGCTAATTAACTTCATCTTTTCCACTTCAAGAAAAGTTTTGATCAACTAAGTTATTTTAATGAGTATATATATATATATATATATATATATATATACTGTTATTTTTCCTTTTTTGATTTTCATTAAAACTATAACTTTAGTAAGTTACAAACCATAGATTTTCACATTTATGACACCTATATTGCAAACTACTAATCAGTGCTCCATAATAATTACTTTACCTCAACCCCTGAACTGTATTAGCTCTAAAACTTCAAAAGTCAAGCATTACTCTATGGCAATGTCAGAGTAGGCATTTCAAAGCCACCACCCTTTTCTCAGCAATGGAATCTGATCCCACCCAACAAAAGTTGCAAAAGTCTAAGTTCCTAGCCAAATTATGTGATTCTGTCTCGGTAGACATGTAAGTCATATTAAGTCATGCAGATGATTTTACACTGTTTGCACAATTACACGCCCTATAAAAAAGACCCTAGGGTAGACTATATATCCATCGTAGAAGATCCTTGATTCTTATAACAGATGACCCTTTCAGGAAAGTGAACCTGAAAGCATATGATTTCCCCATTACCTCTTATCCTTAAAACCTACTATTATCAACTATTCTTACTTATTTTTTTCTCAAGATTCTCAGTATTCACAGGAAGTGATCCTGCAAGTCGAAAGCCATTACTAAGCAGTAACATATTTGTGAAACCAAAAATAAAAATATCAACTGGGGTCAACTGGGAATGATCTTTCAGCCAAATTTCACCTCCAAACTTCTATACCATTTCAAATGCAGGATGCAAAAAAGCCTAGCAGTATCACAGAGCAAAATTCTAGGAATTATCCCAGAGATACGTGTTTTCTTTCTCAGATGAGCTGGTATAGATATGACTATCAAAGGAAATAAGCTACTTATCCAAGTGTGGAGCTAGAATTCAGACTTTCCCTAGCTTGTAACTCCTTCTAGCAGGAAACAATACCAAATATTCAAACCTGATCTTGAAAATTTTTTATCAAAATAACCTAAACTTTGGCTCTTTTATCTCACATTCCTATCAGACAAACTTGATAATATTGGGATTTTATTCTATCTCTAATTTTAAGTGCCAAAGTCACCTCATCACAAAACCTAGAATATCAAGTATTGATATTTTTCAAGCATATTTAGTTTCCTTAGGCATAAGTAAATGCTTTGGTTTTATCAGATCTTCCACTCAAACAAACATTAGGTCAGAACTTAAATAACTAAAAGAATACAACTAATTAATTCTATGTGCATGTATACAATACACCAAAGAAACTGGGCTTCAGAATTTTATGTAAGCTGTACCTATATTTGCTTGTTTCTATAGCAACATTTTTCTACTAGGTTGATGTTTTATGCCTACATGATATATAAATTCCTTGAGAGCAAAAAACAGACTTCCAAACTGTTTAAATGTCCTTAAGAAACCCTAATTGAAACTGCTCCATTATATTTTGAAGTGGACATGCCCAAAAAGCAAAAATAGGAATGGCAATTATTCAGTTCTGGATACCTCAGGCCCTTACAAAGAATAGCATACACTTTTTAGGCAGATGTCTAGAGGCTAAAGCTTTGCTTCTTATTTATATAAGATACTATGAAGAAGTAAAGGTTTTTTGGGGAAAAAAAGTGTGATGCTTTGAATTTGCTATACATTTTTTAAACCACTGGTTAAAAACACATTTGGTACATCTACTAAACTCTAGAAGTGAAGAAAGAAAAAATTGACAATATAACTTTTACAAACATCCTTGCTGTATAATAGCTGTTTTCACATCTCAGGAACATACCTTTTCCTCTGGGTGGGCATTTTCTTTCAGGAGGGAGACCATATCTCGAAATGCTTTCTGTACGCACACCTTCAGTTTTTCAAAATATTGTACAGACACCCATTTAGAAGAACAAGTCGACACAAGTTCCAGAAGTTGCTTGTCACTGGAGCCACTGACACGCTCCTTTTGGGTATCCTTTAACAGAAATTCCAGTACAGTTAAGAGATCTTCCTCATATTGATAGATTTCCAGTTGGATCCGCCTGGCTTCCTGCATAGTCCATTCTCTACGACTCTGGTCTAGACATGTCTGCAATTCTGTCTCCTTCTGAAGAAGTAGCTCAGTTTTCTGTTTCATAAAGTCTTCTTTAGCTGCCGCAAGCACCTCATTAATTTTATTTCGATGATCATCTAAAAATTGCCTGTAATCTTGCTCATTTTGTTCTTGAATTTTGTGGATTTCTTCTTGCTTTTCTTTGTTCCACTCACTCCGGGCCTTGGCCAACTCGGCTCTGACAACCACAGGGGTTTCCTCATTCTTCAATTCAAGCTCCCTCTCAAGAGAATTAATCTTCTCTTCCAATTCCTTTGCAGGTATTACAGTCTTCATAGTTTCAAGTTCACTTTTCCATTTTTCTTTAGCTTCAGAAACAGCAAATGATATCTAGAGGGCATACAATGTACACTTAAATGTCTTTATAATCCTGCTCATTAAAGAAAAGCAAAAGAATTACTTGGGTTAATCACTGAACTTAATGAGATTTTAAAACAAAGGGAAAAGTGAATTTCAATTAGACATTATTTCTAAAAAAATGTGAACACTAAACTTAAGGATCTTTTCCTTTATTTTAAATGACCTAATATTTTACATTTGTTGTTTTGTTTTTTTTTTTTTTTTGTTTAAACAAAACACCAGTTTCTTCATGGACAACTAGAAATTTAAACTGACCAAAATTTGTACATGTTATTCCTACTACAGATTGACACCTTGTACTCTTCCTTCCCATTTGCTTCCCCTCTGCCTCTAGTAACCACTATATTTTTCAGCTTAAGAGTTATTTGTGATGTCATTTGGAAAGATATGGAAACAGCCCAAATGCCCAAAAATGGATGACTGGATTAAAAAAGACATGGTACATATACACAATGGAATATTACTCAGCAACCAAAAAAAAAGAAACACATGTCTTTAGCAACAACATAGATGGAGCTAGAAAACATGATGCCTAGTGAAATAAGCCAGAAAGAAAAGGAAAAATACCAGATGGTTTCTTTCATAGCAGGAATATAATGGAACAGGTGAGAAAATAATGATAATGATGAACAGCTACATACCAGAGACATTTTGTGGGGGTAGAATGGGGAATGGGATCAGAAACAGTGGGGGTAGGGAAATGCACTGGACTATGGTGATGGCACATAGGTGATGTGGTGATGGAAAGCCTAAGGGAATTGCAACAGAGATGGAAAAATGCACAAAATGATGTAAAAATAAACTATTATATTTTTAAAAATTATCTGTGATGTGACATTAGTGCATTTGCAATATTAATTTTAGAAAAGAATTCACATAATTTTCTTACACAAATAGTTTCAATTTTATCTAAGCCCCCAAGAAATTAGTATCTTTTTCATGAAGCAAACAGTCTCCTAAGGAAGTCTCACTTAAGACTGTTATACACTCCTGTGAAATTACTTGCTGACAAATAATTGCATTGTAATGCAATTTAGTTGGTTAGAACTGTTCATTAAATGACAGTACCAAACAGAAAGATTTTCCTTCATCTCATTTCCTTTTGTAGCAGAATATCAGGCTAAATCACAGAAAATAGTACATAAACAAAAGTATGTATTAGAAATCACAAATTCTGAGCTCTAATTCTAATTCCACCATTGAGTGATGGGTACCCTGACACAGTGTTTCACAGGGCAGGCTCTTGACAAGAACTGCTGGAGCTAACCCACCAGCTATGGGGCCACAGGCTCACTGCTCAGCTTCTGACCCTCAGTTTCCTCATTTTAAAAATGGATAAGCTATAGCCATAGCTGCTTTAGAGTGAGTTCGATCCCTGGCCTCAGAGCTGACCCACATGGCGCAGCAGACCTCTCCTGACCCGCCCGCTGCTCCCCTCAGCAGTGTACTTCGTCGATCTGCCTGTTTTGCTCCCCACTCTGTCTCTGGTGAATCCTCTCACAGCCTCTGTGCCTCTGGTCTGGACCCCAGTTCTGTATGCATAAATAAAATAAATCTTTTTTAAAAAATGGGTATAATTACAATGCCCACCTGACAGGGTTGTTTTAAAATTATAAACAAAAACAACCCACTTAAAATAGCCCAGAACCTAAGAGGACTCAATAAGTTTTATGAAGTTATTGCTTTTTTCGGCTGGTGCCCTTGGAAAAGTCACTTTTTTTTACACTTTGTATCTTTCTCTATCTAATGAGCAGATTGGATAATGACCTTGAAATCCCTGCTACTTCTAGTATTCCCTAACAGAATGCAAGGAAATCACAAGAATACCACTATTCAAAGAAGAACTGGGCCTTTCCAAAGGTCTGATATAGAGAGTAGTGACAGCTATTACTCAATATTTATACTGGACATTAACACGAGCTATCTGCTTACTAATTTAAAACTATTAGTCATAGAAAACATTTTCAATATAGATTTTTAAACATGTTACATACCTCTATTCAATATGAATTAAACTTTTGAGTTGTATTTTAAGTTTACTGAAGGAATCTACTGAGTTTTACATAGGAAGACTTTCCAGCAGAATAATTCAGTGGTGATTTGAAACATGCTTAAAGAGTGAGTCTAGGGAAAACATGTCATATCACAATGGATGCCTGGAAATCATTACTGGGAGCTGTGGGTGGAGGTGATGTATCCCATGAAATCTGGATAACCCACCCTGCTTCACCAAAAGTACACATCCTCTCACATGAGTTCCACAAGGAGAATTTCAAAGTACTAAATGACTCAGTAGTACCCAACGTCAATACACATTGGAATCACTTTACAAACTTTAAAAAATCCTGATATTAGGGCACACCACACCTTAGAACAATAGAAACATAAAGCTTAGGAACAGAGACAAGGCAATAGTATTTTTTTAAGAGCCTTAAGTTTTTCCAATGTGCACCAAGCAAGGGAACCACTGAGCCAACTCGATTCCTGGAATTGAGAGACTTTGATGGCTCACTCTAATCACACCAGAGCTCTCCAGCTATGTCTATGAAAGGTGGGTCCTTTCCCACTTTTGGTTTTCGAGAAAGAATGTACAGCGTGTTAACATTTTGTGACTGAGTAATACCTAGAACAGTGCTCTTCATACCCTATTGTGGGCCAGAGACCAGCAAAGTCACATCACCTGGGAGTCTACTAGAAAGGCAACTTGTTAAGACTGACTACAGACCCACCAAGTCATTATGTCTAGGAGTAAAGCCCAGGAATGTGCCTGAGACCCTCCAGGGGGTTAGGGGTTTCTCATGCTTGCTACATTTAAAAAGCAATATGTGGTGTGGTCTTATTGTAGCTATAATTCTTCACTCACATACATTCTGGTCTTCTGAGTAGAAGGAAAGGTCTCTTAGGAAGAGAAAAATAGCTCAGGAAAAAGCTTAGGAAAGATCTTCTGATATTTTATTTCTTATATTCTACCTAGTTTTTATTCTTTTCCCTGACTTATGAGCTCTTGAGATGCATATGCACACCATCATATCATCATATTCCTTCCTCTTTCTCTCTCCCTCTTCAATTTCCTTCTGAAATATTCCAGTGTCCTAAAAGTTTCAGAGAACAAGGAAACAGACAGCCATGTACTACCACATAATTTGTGAAAATACAGATTTTTTTTTACTTCTGGTGAATTGATTCCTTAAGTAATTTGCGGTATAACATTATGAATATAATGTCTCCATTATGTCCAATGCCTGTTTCACACATTACTTACAAACTGGTTATGACATCCAGAGACTTTGTGTCCGTTTGACACTGTGATCTATTATATTTTATCACAATTAAGAAGAGAGGGGCCCTCCCTGGTGGCGCAGTGGGTTAAAGCACAGCACTGAGAATCTGGAGCCGCTTCCGCATGAGTTCAATTCCCGTCTGCCCTGGAGGTGACCACATGGTGTGGCAGACCTCTCCTGACCCGCGCGCTGCTCCCCTCAGCAGTGTACTTCCTCGATCTGCCTGTTCAGTTCCCCACTCTGTCTCTGGTGAAGCCTCTCACTGCCCCTGAGCCTCTGGCCTGTACCCCAGTTCTGTATGCACAAATAAACCTTTAAAAAAAAATTAAGAAGAGAGGATTTATACATATGACATAGGATGGCCTCTAAATTCTGTTATTAGTTTGCCTATCTCTAAGGCTGTTATAAATGTCCTTCTCTTGGTCTTTGTTATTTGGACTTCCCAAGAAAACTATCTGATTGTATCCTTGGCATACTTTCCCCCATATCCTTGTTTTTCTTATAAATTTGATATTTTTTGTATTACATATTAATATGATGTTTCTCACACTTGATTCATTCACTTTTCACATTTTATTAGCCCCTCCATCTGGTTTGTTTTATTATGAAAACAAAAATGTTTTGAATGTCCTGTTCTACCCTATTACTTTATACTTGCTAGTATGTTGCCTTAAAATTGAGTTATTACTATGATACATATCTGAAAGAGCCAACTGCTTTATTTTTTTTTACAGTTTTGTTTAAACATGTTTAACTTCTTTTTTTTTTTTTAAGATTTATTTATTTGTGCATACAGAACTGGGGTACAGGCCAGAGGCTGAGGGGTGGTGAGAGGCTTCACCAGAGACAGAGTGGGGAGCAGAACAGGCAGATCGACGAAGTACACTGCTGAGGGGAGCAGCGGGCGGGCCAGGAGAGGTCTGCCACGCCATGTGGTCACCTCCTGGGCAGGCGGGGATCGAACTCATGCGGAAGTGGCTTTGGCTTCTCAATGCTGTGCTTTAACCCGCTTTGCCACCAGGGAAGGCCGAAACATGTTTAACTTAATTAATCTAGTGTTTATTATGATGTTTGGGTTGGGTATTCTTAAATTTTTTAAAGCACTATCTGATTATAAGAGTACTACAGAATGATTCTTCATTCTTTTGTCTTGAAGCTATTTATTAAGATTTTTATTCATAATTGAGCCTGTCTCTGAAGTTTGCATAGTACTGAGTGAAAAGCAATTCTATTTTTCAGTGACAGTTACTACAGAAATCGATGCTTTCCAATATATGCTATTGTGTGTTAGAGCTGAACTACTAGTTCTTTTCTAAAGACCTTAAAAAATCTCTAGAACTTTCAGTTTTCCAAATCTCATATTGTGTCTAATTTCAAGACTATATTGAGCATATAGACATTGACTCAAATTGGTTTATATTAAATAGGAAGATAAAAAGGAAGAAGATAAAAAGATATCTGACTTTTCTAGTCAAGGAATATGACATTTCTGTAAAAAAGAACAGACTATTTATCAAGATTATGTTACATGCCTACGGACAAAGCACAGAAACAATCTTTAAGCATGTGAAAGTGTATCATATAACTAATAATAAGCAGATAAACACCTGTTTTCAATTTCCCCTACAGATAAGGCAAGAGAGAATGTGATTAAGTGGCATGATTAAGGTTATCTTCTTGATTATGAGTTTCAAGACCCTAAAATACATTTTCTCTTGAACAACTTGATGATGATAACAGATATGGCTAGTCAGACCTTGAGCTTTTAACAGGCATTGTTATATCTAATCCTTTGACAACTCTGAGACTAGGTAAGAATTCCTGGGACTGACATGAGAGAAGTCAGCAGAGAGACCCTCCTGAAGCTTCTTCTTGGGAGAGCCCTTACCCGTTTGGCCACAGAAATCTCTTGCTGTTCTTCCCACTTCTTCTTTTCCACTTTTACATGTGCTCTATACTCTGCAAGCTCAGGCAGTTCCTCCAGCCATCGAACACGAGCATTTTGCACAGCTGTTTCTACCTGCAAAGTAGCACAAAAGAAGTGAGGTATAAAATTTCAAAAAGACCCCATTTGTAAATGACAACTATGATTTTATGTGCATTTCAGATTGCATGATATGGCATTATTTAAACTAACTTCAAGTATCCCCACGATATCCCCAAAAGTGGATTCTAATCCTTTTGTTCTAAATTCCCCAGACTGTCCCAGGCAAATGTTACAGGAAGTGGTGGAATCAATACATTTATCTGACAGCCAGTCCTACTTGGAAACTCATACAAAATACTCGTTTCCAACAAAATCTTGTTTATCTTGGGAAAAGTCCTCCATGCAGGGTATCTTGGTACCCATTGCTGTCCAATCAGTATAGCCACCATTCGCCCTGCCCAGAGCTAATACCCTACACACACACACACACATACACACCAATATTTAGTGCCTTATACTTGGCAGATTTTCTTGCTGTCAAGACTGATTTTGTGGCTAAAGAATGAGGGTGATACTCAATTCAGGCAAAAATGTAAGACTTGCTAAATTACAAAGTGATCTGGTTGTTAATCTGTCACAGATTACCACATGGTCCTACATGTGTTCACACGCATTCACACAAACACACACACTTGCTGTGCTGAGAGGAGGGGCTGCATTTCTCACTAAAACACTAACTACATTTACAGGTAAATTCCAGGAAGTTGAAACTATAGGAAAATATAAAACTCCTATAAAAATATACATTTCTTTAAAATGTGAACATTTTCTTTCTACCACATCATGCTATTATTCACAAAATCTATAATTTTATAAATTCCACAGTGGCACCCTTAAATAAGTTTTTTTTGTCTATAGGATAGTGTCTTTACTCTGATCAGATATTATAACCATTTCAGGAAATGATTTCCTTAGCTAACTGACAATATCCTTGACATCATTACATCTGTTTCCAGGCCTAAAAAAGGGCTCTCATAAAATCATGTTGAACAGTTTAACAAATAAGCAGAATTTCAAGTATTAATCAAAAGCTGAGTAACTTTTTTGGTTTGTATTTATTTATGCATACAAGAGCTGGGGTACAGGTCAGAGGTGTGGGAGGTGAGAGGATTCACCAGAGATGGAGTAGGGAGCAGAACAGGCAGATCTACTGAAACACACTATTGAGGGGAGCAGTGAGTGGGTTAAGAGAAGTCTGCCACGCCATGTGGGTCACCTTCCTGCCCAGTGATCAAACTCACGCTGCAGTGGCTGTGGACAGCTGCTAGTGTTGAGACTTAACCCCTTGCATCACCATGGAGGCCTATGCTGACTAACTTTTTAAAACCACCTTAAGGTACTGTCTGAAGATTAGGTAATAAATATCTGAAGATTAGGTAATAAATATTAAAGTAATAAATTTACAATGAATATTATCACATTATGGTTTTGGGGGCCTCTGAAGGTTAGGAACACTGTCAGGTAGTCAGTCTGTGAGGTCAAAACAATTTTCAAAATAATATCCAGACACTATATGTTAAGTGATGTCACTGTTCACTCAGCCAATGTTTGCTTGAATATTCTTGTTGAATTTCTTGTATTTTCTTATATAGTAAATAGATATACCCAGAGATACAAAGCTCTCTAGAGTTCTCAGTATCTGAAAGTTTTATAAAGGAATCCTGAGACAAAATAATTTGAGAATGGATGTAAAAATACTGATAAAGCTAATTAACTCTTCTTTATTCTATTAATGGAGAATGAAATTGACTCATTATGACATTGCATGGAAACCAAGTTTATTTCCCTAGTTTATAAGGGAAAGAGCTTTGTGAGTCCTCCCAAGGGCCTTGAGGCAAGGGCACCCCTTTTTGTCAGCAAAAGGGATTCATAGACAAAGCCCCACTTAAGAGGCATGCTAACAGATTCATTTCTGCAAATCTTAACACAGACTATTGGTAAATAATTTAGTCACCTTAGGAGTGCTTATTTTTTTTTTTTTTAAGATTTATTTATTTGTACATACAGAACTGGGGTACAGGCCAGAGGCTCAGGGGCGGTAAGAGGCTTCACCAGAGACAGAGCGGGAAGCAGAACAGGCAGATGGACGAAGTACACTGCTGAGGGGAGCAGTGGGCGGGTCAGGAGAGGTCTGCCTCGCCATGTGGTCTCCTCCGGGGCAGGTGGGATTTGAACTCATGCGGAAGTGGCTTTAGCTTCTCAGTGCAGTGCTTTAACCCGCTGCGCCACCAGGGAGGGCCAGGAGTGCTTATTTTTAACTACCTTAGTAGAATATATTTTATAAAATGATAAGGATTCATAATTCAATTGAGTTTCATTCTGTTGTAAAACCACTGCCTTTAATCTTGGGCACGTTAATGCACAGACTGACCTAGAGGAATAAGCATTTTGAAAAACTGAGGGGTGACAACATCGTGACAGAACTATGGTAAATATTTTAAGAAAATTCTGTCCTAGAGTTTTAAGATTCTCTGTCCCAGAGTGTGCAAATATGTTCAATTATAACATTATGATCAGAGATAGCATTTTACAGGCTTTAACTAATAGGCATTAATAGACAGCTCCACTAATTTTACTATTACCTGTTTTGCCTATTACCTGTTTGGCAATATTGGCACAATATTTGAGTTCCAATTCAAGCTCAAGTTCCTTCAAGCTCCCCTTGACTGCTATTTCCTTCTCTTGCTCTATATCTTGCTGGATCTTTCGCTTCTGCTCTTCTACCGTGATTGCCATCTCTTTCTTGGAAGCAGCATCAATGGCAGCTACTTGGTCAGTTTGGCTGCAACAATCTGATGTTTTCTTTTTCATTGCCTTTATAGTCTGATCCAGCTTACACTGCCATTCCTTTTCAAGCTGTTGGATAAGTTCTTGCTTGATCTGTTTTCAGAAGTAAATTCACATAAGAAAAACACTCACTCAAACAAAAACTAAAATCAATAGCTAGTCAAAAACAAGAACAACAAATAGCGGTCTGAAAACCATCTGGACAGTGTAATTACAAAGGGTTTAGAAATTAAGTTGACAAAAATATTTTCTCAAGTCCTGAAAAGTTATAGATCACATGAATGATATCAGTATATTACTAGGTCAAACTATTTTGCTCTGAAGATACATTCTTCTGGAAGTCTCGACATAATCACTCCCTAGGGGGCATGGCATTTTTAAAAAAGAAAACTTCTGCTACTAAAGTGTTTTTCAATCAATCATAGCTTTTCACAAAATAAGCACTCAGTAAGTCTAACTGGTGAATCTAAAATTGAACAATCTGAACAAGTTTTCTCACCAAGCACATTAGAATCTTTTGTAAGGATGTTAAATCCTTCAAGTTCTACCCATAGTGTGGTCACATGTTCTTCTCTTTCCTCCAATAGTTTTCTTTCAATAAAATACAGGTAAATATCTTTGCACAATACTAATAGACTCCCAGTTAAAGTTATAAAATAATGGTTATATGCAGCTAATAGAGACAAGAGAACTTCTGAAACGACAACTCAATTGGTTGAAAAACTGTCTTGTGAAAGCTGCTTACATTTTAAATAGTTGGATTTGAAAAAATCTAAGGATGACTACATTAAAATAAAGGCATCTAATACAACAAATATATTCTCAGGAGAACAAATACATTTTTTTAAATATAATATTTTTAAAATATTATATATATATGATAGCCCACTCAGGTATTATAGCCAAGGAAATATTTACATTTTTGAGTCTATAGTTCTGTCTGAAAAGCTTAGAATCTTGGGATAAATCCAGCATGGTTGGGTTCCATTATCAAAGATGAATTATTAAATCAAAACTACAGCATTATTGAATGAGAACTATAAAATGTCTTTGAAATTTAATAATGAATACAACATTCTCTACTTTTCCTAGGAGCCCAGGTAGACTGAAGAATCCCTGACATTTTTTTACATTATTGCAAATAAAACTCTATTTAAGGATCAAAATTAACTATGAGAGTTTCTGGCTGAGAATTTATTTTTTGAAGATTTATTTATTTATGCATACAGAACTGGAGGTGGGGGTGTGAGAGGATTCACCAGAGACAGAGTGGGAAGCAGAACAGGCATAATGGCTGAAATACACTGTGAGACGAGCAGTGGGCGAGTCAGGAAAGGTCTGCTGTGCCATGTGAGTCAGCTCCCTGGTTGGGGATTGAACTTGTGCTGCAGTGGCTTCGGAGAGCTTCACAGTGCTATGCTTTAACCCATTGTGCCACCAGGGAGTGAGAACTTTAAGTGGTTTTCTGATCATCCTACTGTGACGTCATGAACAACACACACTGATAGCAACAAATGACGACACAAAGCAGCAGCATGATTCGGTTCCGGCAGTGCAGCCACGGGAGCTCAGCTTGTGTCTCTCGGCTTGATTTCTAAATGCCTCTCTGCTTGTCTGGGTTTTTTTCTGGTTCATAACTGATCTGTAGTGTTCCTGTCTTAAATACCATCTTATGCCTCTCCATTACTACACATAGCATCAATAGCAGCAAGGTATCCTGTTCAGCATTGCACGATTTGGGCAAATTTCCAGTGGTTGGGGAACCCATTTCTTCATGAGTTGGTATCACAGTTATACTAAGACATAGGATGGTCTCAACCACATGGTTGATTTGAATAAGTTGTCCAATGTCACATCACATTTTTTTTTTTTGACCAAGGAAGGAATCCCCAAATTGTCTTATCTATGGTGTGTCCCCTTAAGGAGCTATATCCATATATAACCACATTTATTTCTGGCCTAGGAGAAAATTGCTACTAATGTTGCTGGTGTTTATGAGTAGGCCAGCTACTTTGGGTACCTACTAAACTAGTCAAGGAGTGATTCAAAAAACCTACTATCTACTATTCCTTCTTGTTATGTGGGTCAGCTAAGTGGCCTTTCCGGTCTAAGTCAACTAAGCTGATATCTACAGGCAACTGGGCTACGAGGTTACACGTATAGTTAAGTCCAGGTTCACTGTACTTGGTCACACATATCATCCAGCAGGTTACACCAGATCGTTCTCATGGAGGTAGTCACAGGGTTCCTAAAGGCATCAAGCTTGCAAGTCCCAATGCATTAACACTTCTTAGGCCTCTTTGTGTTTAATACTTGCTAAGACCCATCGGCCAATATAAATCATGCAGCCACATCAGATTCAACAGATGAGAAACAGACTCTGCATCTTACAGAGGGGAGCTACAAAGTTCTGTTGCCAAGGACATGCATTTAGGGGTGGGAGGATGTGTGCCATCTAATACAATCTACCATGGTGAGGAAAGCCTTGTTTCTTTTCAGAGAAAAAGTCATACTTTTATTGGCCTTGCAGATCTGCCATTTGAACATGTTATAGAAATATCCAATTATAAATTTTTACCATTAAAGGGAAGGGAATACTTAGTTTTAAAATACTTAAACTTGATTTGTAGGGATTATACAGGAAAAAAAGAGTTTTCTACTAATGAATGACTGAGCAGGCATTACAATGGTATAAATAAATTCTAACATGTACAAAAACACCATTAAAAATAAGGATGTATGTCGTTTTTGCCTTGCCTGCGAGTATGAAGGGTTCTATGTATGTGATTTTTTCCCCTTTTCTCTGAACAAGCCATAACATGTGAGGCTAGTTCTATATGTTAACAAAAGCTTTAAATTTTTGAAATAACCTGCAGCTTGACCCAAGTGTTTCAGAAAAGAAGAACTATAGCCTTGGACTCTTGGTATTTCTGTCTTATAAATTGTGTGTATGGACTAAATTTGTCATCTGAAGGTCAGCCACAGGGAAAAATTGCATATGTCCTGCAGAAAAGGGTTACCCCAAAAGTTTCCTAGCTCACTCCAGAGTTTAGTAAGTTCCCATCAGTAGTGAAACATTCCCTAGAAAAAAAACAGATTGGTGGCTATACCTCATAGCACTGGAGGATGGTCTCCTTATTTCAAGTAAATGCTGTTCTGACTCTTAAATTCAATCAGTCTCTTTAAAAATTCAAATAAATTCTGTCCTGACCCTTAAATAAGTCTTTTAAACTCAAATAAGTTCTGTTCTGACTAGCTTTTAGAGACTACTAAGACTTATAAAGGGTTTATAAAGTCTAAATAATAATAATAATTTAAAAAAAAACAACCCTAAAGAACTCCCAGAGAAGAATTAAAATTTTAATGCTTTAAGTATGCCAGCCCTTTAAATGGAGGGAGAAGGCATAACTACAAAGGGATAAGCATGAGGGGGTTTTAGGGTAATGAAGCTGTTCTGCACCCACATCCATCTACACATGTTTAAGATGTACAGCACTAGTTACTAGATGAAAAAGTCAGTCTTACATAGGACATTTTTTAAATTTTAAAGGAAAAAAATATAACCCTTCAGCTTTTTTTGAATTGGCCAAATAACAGCTTTCAAGTTCCTTCTTGCATCAGTGCAAAAGCAGTCGTAAGCCAGAGTATCAGGCGAGTGCAGCAATTAGTTGCCATTGACCCAATATGAAGTCCAAGTACAGCAGATTAATGTTTTTAAAAGTACTAGAAAACAGATTCCTGGAAAGAATGATCACTTTGACAGAAATGCTCTTACATTCCTGCTAATTTATGTATTTTTTTCAATAGTCATAACCATATTTTTAAAAATCTGCAGTGGGGACAGTTGGCTCTACAGCTGTACTCCCATGATGAAGTTCAGTTTGATACTCAGCAAGCTTTGCTTTCAGTAATATGAAAATATTAGAAAAACTATGAAGAGCGAGATGAGCTGTGAGCAATAAAGCATTTTTAATTGCCATTTGGTTTGCTGCTGAAGCCTTTGCAGACAAGTGTATGCTCAGTGGGCCTTTGCCCATATGTATTTTTTAAAAAGAAGGGGGGAAAAAAAGAATCACACTAAAGGTCTTCTCCCTACTTTTAACTTTTTAAAACCTTCTCGAAAATTAAGTTCAATTTCAAGGTAATTTGAGATACCTTCTAACATTTATATTGCCAGCACTAGCTAAAACAGCTCCCTTTAGAAGATTTTTTCCCAAGATGACATATATGCACGGCAACATGCTGTGGGTTTTTTTAAACTATAACTTATTCAAAATAGTAAAAGTACCAAATTCTTCACCTGCTCTTTACTATTCATTCTGAGTCTGTGGTAGCAATAACTAGCTTCACTAACATTTTTTCAGGAATTTCAGTACAGAATATTTACTCAGACCTTTAAAAATATTTTCTAATCTGGATGCAGATGTTTTGCACCTTGTGATCTGCAGGCTGGTCCCAGGTGGAAGGAAAGTCAGATGTGCCTGGATGGGGCTCAGGCCAGGAGAGGGAAGAGAGGAGAAGGTGCAACTGTTTACATGTGAGTCTGCACCTGGACTCTCGCCAATGGCCACTGAAAGATTCAGGCAGGATTACAGTGGCTGGAGCCTCTCACCTGCCCTGAAAAAACGCATTTTCCTGAAGGTCTTACTCACCCGGCGACCTCCCTCTCCACACCTGCATGTCACCACCTTCCCTAGCATGTAAACCCAGGTTACCAGCTGCCCTTCTCCCCAGAACTTAGGTATTTAAAGGGAAGTGAGTCAGAGGAAAATGTCTCAAAGGACTACACAGACTCACTTGAGAAGCCAGCAAAGGAATGCAAAGAGGATACTTAAGTTTTGGACTCAAAGTGACGCAAGTCCACTTACGTTTGATTTTTTAGAACATTTTATTCTTGCCTGAGAATAAATGTATAAGGAAGAGACATTTTCTCCTCTCTCATTTTTACTAAGGTTTTAATAATCAATTTCATTATTTACTGTATTTTGTGAATGCTGTTAGTGTGCTAGAAGCAAAGGGCTTCAAAGTATGCCTCCCCGTTTCACAACAGAACAAGGGTGCTGGCGTAAATGTCAACAGGGAAGCCAAAGAAATGTAGTCAACGCAAGACTTAGACTGCACCTTCTGCTCCTGGGTTTGTTGCTCCTTTTCAAAGGTCTTCCTGAGCGTTGATTCCAGATTATCCTTCTCTCTGCATACTTCTAGGTAACACTCCTGTACAGCAGTCATCTCCTTATTCATCTTATCTAAGTCAGACCTTGGATACACAAAACCAACAACTAAATGACCACAAAACATACAAGGGCTGAACAGAACAATTTTCTTCGAAGCTATGGAGGAGGGGAGTGTTACTACTGTTTGTAGGGCAATTCAGTTTGTTTATTCTCACCTGAGCTGCAAGCGAGTCCCCTCATAAGCCTCAAAGAGCTGCTGCTTCTCCAAAGCATGCTTTGCTGACAGGCTTTCACGTATTTGTGCTTTCATGGCTTCATGGTGCTGTTGGTAAGTCCTCTCACACCTAGAAACAGACAGTGGATGGTAGTGGCCCAACATTACTTTAAGGCTCTGCCCAACATGATTAGAAACACCCAAATACATTGGTCTCCCTTCCTCCTTTCCCACTTCTTCCCTCTATTCAAATTATAATTAAGGTCTACAACCAACCAAAAGTAGTAATAATGTACAGTAGGTGTTTCTATATAAGAATTCTTCAGTTTTTCTTTCAAGAGTTTCCTTGGACATGAGAATACCCCAGTCTTTAAAATAAAGCTAATGGCTGAGATTTTGTTGATTTAAAAAATAAACTAGAATAATGCAGAGTATGGATCTCTATTCCCAAGTCACCTATATTAAGTACAAATATTAGCAGTACCCAACGCACAAGTAGGTTATGTTCCAAAAGTCTGTTTCCACATTTATGATTTCATATTTGGAAGACATGCTCCCTCTCCCACGGATTTTTTCCTTATAAAGAAGTTTCCTCAGATTAGCCTTTAAGGAAAACCCTAAGACATATTATTGCCGTGAACTACAGTTTTGATGGCGCTATAGAACCCAGCAACTACATGACATCATTTCTATAGAAAACGTGTTCCAAATTCTAATTTGAGAAGCCACTTTCTCCAATCTAAGATCTCAACAGAGAGGGTTCACATTGTCATTTCTCATGAATCTTCCTTGGGGAGGGGGAAGAAAGTAGGAGAAAGATGCCCAGGAGGCAGGCATTAGCTTCTATAAAGATCACACCTATTTATGGCTTCTTGTTTATCCCGGTCAAAATCTTGTACCATCTGTCTCATTTGGTTACATAAGTGTTGATTTTTATTTCTCAGTTTTTCTTCAGTTTCTTTAAGTTCCTAAATACAAAAGAATAAGATATTTAGAGTAAATAAACATCATTTTCATTGATTTGTCTAGCCTCCTTTCAGAAAATCCTGTGTTATATTGCTACTCCCTAACATTTGACATTATATCATTATTGTAACTCTACAAAAGGAAAAAGCTTCTTCAAGTCCTGTTAAAGTACAGACTTATTATTTAGATAAGTTACTTTCTGATAGGAGTATAGATTAAATTCTGCCTTATATGTAAGTATATGAAATTGCCTTATATAGAGTATAGCTAACATGTCATAAAATAATTTTATAATTTAATCACCTTCAGCAATCAACTAAATAAACAAGGTTTTACTTTCGATCATAGTCTGGTTGTGAAGGAAAAACACCTCTATCACCCATGCTAGTATATGGATAGGAAATTGGCTTACACCAACTTTCCTTCTGATGAAATTACTACCCCATACTAGTAAAGAGAAAGAACTAGATCCTTATCATCTATTAATATAATTACTTGTTTATTGCACATTGTCTATTTTTCAAAAAGCCTCACCTAGTTTTTGAATATAATGAAGACATGAAAATTCTCACAAAATACAGGAAATATTTTAGTCACCTGATTATGTTGTTGTAAGACTTGAATTTCATTTCTTAGTTGCAGAATATTATCTTTCACCATCATGTCAGAAGTAAGAGAGTCAGACCACAATTGAGTAGTTGGTTTGTCTGAGATGCTTGTTTTAGTCTAAATATTCAAAAGAAGTCAAAAGTTTTTTTGATTATTAAAAAGTTCTCTCAGTATTCATTTTGAATTAAGTTCATACTTACACAGAAATTACAAACACAGCATAAATAATTTCTGTAAAGATCTCATTACCTTCCCCAAATAGACACACAGTAGAACTTAGCTTAAACCAGTAAGTTAACTAGAATGCAATTCTATTAACCAAGCCACAGTCCTAATATAAAATTTTCCAATTTTCCTATTGTCCTTTTTCTGGCTCAGGTTCCAATCTACAATTCTTTATGGTTCTAGTTGTCACATCTCATTAGTTCCCTCCAATTGAGGACTGTTCTTCAATCTCTGACTTTCAAATGCACAACATTTTTTAAGAGTACCAACCAGTTATTAAGATGTTCCTCATTTGGGTTTTTCTGATTTCAGATTATGCATTTTTGGCTTGAATTGCACAGAAGTGATATGTTAGCTTTTTAGAAAACATGGGACATCACTATGTCTCATCATTGGTAATGATCAATTAATGCAAGTGAGGTTAGCAGACACCTCCATATAAAATTACTACTTTTCAAATTGTAATTAATAATATACTTTGAGACTATACAAATATCCTCATTTTCACATTTAGCATCTATTTTATTTCAGTATTTACATAAGTGGTGTTGCCTGGTAGATACATATTTTATTAAGTAAGTACAATTTTTTTAAAGATTTATTTATTTCTGCATATAGAACTAGGGTACAAGCCAGAGGTGCAGGGGCGGTGAGAGGATTTACCAGGAACAGAGTGGGGAGCGGAACAGGAAGATCAATGAAGCACACTGCTGAAGGGAGCAGCAGGCAGGTCAGGAGATGTCTGCCATGCTGTGTGGGTCACCTCCGGGGCCGGGGATAGAACTCACATTGAGGCAGCTGGAACTAGCTTGCAGTGCTACACCCTAACCCATTGCACCACCAGGGAGGGCCACAAGAAGTACAATTTTTAAGGCTCATGATGGACTTTGACAAATTGTTTGGAAAAAAATCATACAAACATATACTGACAGGAGTGCTTACTTTGTGCCACTCACTCTACCTCCAACAATAGTGACTATAAGTGCAGATTGTCGTGGATGGGGAAAGGGTCCCAACAACTGCTTCTTTTTGCACTTCTCATCTTGCATTGGAGGGGAGCCTTTCATGCACCATTACTGTTCATTTGTTTTTTCATCTTCCCAAGTTTGCCTGTTCATATGACTTTGCATATTTCCCTCTTATCATCTCTTGTCCTTATCAATTACACTTCCTCACTCACACTCAGTGAGTGCATACTAATTCAACAAATATTTACCGAATAAATATACAAGTAAGTATCAAGAAAATATTCCTGAGAAATTCCTTCATCATGAGTTGAAACAGGACATAAGCAGAAAAGACTGAAGTCACATGTCAAAAAATACAAAATGTAGACTGCTGAGAAATCACAAAGACAAAGCAGTTGGAAACAAAGTGTATTGAAAGATGAGAGCTGTCTTTGATCTACTGATCAACTTCCGATCTACTGAACAATCAAACTATAGGCACAAAGGGAAAAAAACAAAATATGGCAACCATCAACCATCATGTATGTGAAAAATCTATCTGTAGAGCCCACACCCTGGGTGATTTCAACAGAAAGCAAAGCAAGCACCGTGAAACCAAGCTGAGCTTCAGACCTCAGAACAGGTCCTGCTGTCCTAAATCATGGGCCACCCCAACCAAAAACTTCACTTAGCCAGTTGTGATCTTACAGCAAAAAGGACAGGAGTTTTTATTCCCATTCTTATGTGAAACATACGGACACAATTAAAACAGCTTGATTTAAAGATGTTAAATGTGCTGGGGCTGAAGAGGTTATTTTCATTTGGTTGTTAATAACACTGAAACCAATCTTGTCCTCCTCAAACATAGTTATGCAGAAAAAAAGAACCAGACTGGGCAGGAAGCACACTATTATTTCTGGAAAATAAAGTAGACAATTAACATTTTATGCTAAAAATTACCATAGAGCATCTTGCATACTTTGCTTTAAATGGGTCTGTTTTAATGAGCAAAGCTCCTCATTTACAAGACCAGCAGATAAAACAGTACTGAAACAGGAAGCAAAGAATTTTTCCATTCAAGAGGAAAAGGACCATATTATCTATAGTCATTTTCCCCTTTCCCTTTCTTTTTAACTTTTTTTTAAAAAAAGATTTATTTATTTATTCATATAGAGCTGGGGTATAGGCCATGGGAGGGTGAGAGGATTCGACAGAGAGGGGAGCAGAAAAGGCAGATGACGAAGTACACTGCTGAGGGGAGCAGCGGGCAGGTCAGGAGAGGTCTGCCACACCATGTGGTCACCTCTGGGGCAGGCGGGGATTGAACTCATGCGGAAGTGGCTTAAGCTTCTCAGTGCTGTGCTTTAACCCGCTGCACCACCAGGAGGACCATTAACTAACTTTTTAATGTATTATTTTCTACTAGAAGTATACATAAGTTGGGACTATAAAATATGCAACAGTGAAAGCAGCTATTAAGGGAGAACCCTAGGGTTCTTTGTGATTACATGAATTTGGAATAACACTGACCTACTTATTAATCAATGGTTTTAGTTTCAGGTTTCCTAAAGACCATAACCTCAGCTAGGTCACAATTGTCTCTAGCTTCATTTTCCTCCTCTATCAAGTAAAGTGACTAATGAAAGGCTACACAGATGGACTTTAAAGAGACTGCCATAACTGAATCTGCATTTTTCCGATCTGAGACTCCCATACTTTATAACTCATGTCCTTATACAGAATGAAGTGTTACAGGAAAATGGACCAGAGAAATTGCACTTATAAAATGCAATTTTAAATCTGTGCAAAATTTAACTAGATTTTAGAACACTGATAGTACAAGCCAATCTGGAAACTGGAGGAAATACAGATACCTTAACTAGGCCGAAAGCTTCTTTGGAATTGTAGTAAGGAATTTACCTAATTGGCATTTCATTTACTAGGAGCCAAGAGTAACCAGAAAATATATTCCTTTAAGCTGCATTTCCTTCTTTAAACTTTATTTCTTCTAAAAATGTCAAATGAACCCATGAAAGACAAAGGTTTAATTTAAAGGTGAAACTTGTGTTTCCTTTAGTAAGCGTTAAAAGGTGGCTTAATTTGGGCCCTCCCTGGTGGCTCAGCAGGTTAAAGCATTACACTAAGAAGCTAAAGTCACTTCGCATGAGTTCGATTCCCGCCTGCCCCAGAGGTGACCACATGGCACGGTAGACCTCTCCTGACCCGCCCTCTGCTCCCCTCAGCAGCGCACTTCATATATCTGCCTGTTCTGCTCCCTACTCTGTCTCTGGTGAATCCTCTCGCCGCCCCTGCATCTCTGGCCTGTACCCCAGTTCTGTATGCACAAATAAATAAATCTTAAAAAAAAAAAAAAAAGTGGGCTTCTACGAACCTTACGATCCTCAAGTTCGCTACTTCTTCCCTCCTTCTCTTGTTGGAGATCTTCAATTTTCTTTTGACAGTCTTTGAGATCATTCTGTAACTGAGACACCAGATGACGCTTCACAGAGTTGCTACCCAGCAAACGCTGCACTTCTGCTTTCAGCTTCACAATGACTTCGTCTTTGGAGAGCTCTTCATTTGGGTCTCCTTGCTGTACAATGCTAATGGAAAATTATTTTAAAAATCAAAACAGGTAGTAAATTGAGAATGTTTATTCCTTAAAAGCAATGAATTGTAATAGTTTTGTGACCTATACAGCTAGATGCTAGTATTTCAAAATACATGGAAGCTTTGCCACCTGAAGAATATACAGGGAATCACCTTGGCATGTCCCTACTAAATAAGCTTATTCCTAGGAAGACCATTAAGTTTATTCTTGCTGCCTCACTGAAAGGAGTTCAGTTAACCATGTGAAATTCAATGTGGTTCGTTTGTTTACAGTAAACTTCATGCTATCGAATTCTAAGAGAAACAATCTAAAAATAAAAGGAGGAAGAGAACCGTAAGCACTAGCCATCCTAATCAACAATTTCTGTTCTTTTTTATTAAAACACAAATTTGAGTGGATATTTGAGCAAAGGAGAAAAAAATTACAAAAATGAAAGCCACCCTAAAGACCAAATTTATCACCCTGCTTTTCAAAAATAACTAGAAAACCAAGTAAAATACATGAAACAATGGTTTTCAGTATCAGACAAGTAGCATAGCACAGTGATAATGTAAAAAAGAAAACAAACAAGGTGAGCTCTGTGAATGTCACAACTTCCTGCTCAGAATATTTCTAGACTGTAACACAGGGAGAAGAAACCCAAAGAGGGTATTAAAATTCCAACACGCCACAAGAAGTTGAGTTGCAGCAGGTGGAGGTCAAAATGGCTACATCTGAAAGAGGGTAATATTGTGAGAAAGCTATGGAAAGGCAGTTACATAGAAAGAGAGCTCTAGAGATCTGTGCATACACGTGAGGAAATTACCTTACAGTCAGGGAAAGAACCACAGAAAAGGTAGAGGGTTGAGAACAGATCGTATGCCAAAGAGCTGTAGTGGAAAGGTCTCCTAATTCACAGACCAGCAAATATTCCCTCAGTAATTAGGGCCAAATTAGCACCCAGATTAAAAGCTGCTTAAAGTCTGAACTAATAGAGCCTATACAGAAAGCCTTGATAAGATCACATAGATGCCAGGTACCATAAAATGTCCAAAATTAATAACAGTATTTTTTATTATAATAAAATCCAGCATCTAAAACATAAAATTGAGAACATCTAGCACCCAATCAAATATTACAAGCATGAAAATAATCAGGAAAGAAAATATGAACATAAATAGAAGAAATATCTATCAATAGAAAACTGCCCCAGGAGTGACATATACAACAGAATTAATGAACACATTGCTATGTTCAAGAAAAGAGAGAGAAAAAGTAAACATAATGAGGAGAGAAATTTAAGATATAAAAAAGAGCCATTTGGACTTAATATAGAGAAAAATACATAATATCTAAAATTAAATATATACTAGATGAGATTAACAGTATAAGTTACTTATGAAGCTAATTTGGAAGCATAAGCAAGCAAGAATAATCAGGAAAACTCTTCACAAGAATGACAATTCCAGATTGGTGGTAGAACAAAAGTACAAGACAAAATAACAAAGTTTTTAGAAGGCAGCATAAGGAATCATTTCATGAGCCTGAAGAAAAGATTTCTTAAAGGGAACATAAAAAAGTATAGCAAAGCATTAGCAAAGACTGATAAATTTAACTACAGTTTAAAAAATGTCACTCATTAAAAGACACAAGAAATTAAAAAGGCAACTAAGAATAAAACATTTCCTATACACATAACCATCAAAAAACTCATACCCAGAACAGATACTTACCAAAAAAAAACCAAAAAAAAAAAACAAAACTAGAGATTGAAAAACCATCACACACACAAAAAAAAAAAGCCATTTACAAATGGAAATGGAAAAGGGACAAGAAAAAGGATCTCACTCCCTCCCATTTCTCTCTCACCCAAGCAACCAAGAACCACAAAACATTTTTTTAATGAGCTCAATCTTAATAATCCAAGACAATGCAAAGTAAAACACAATAAAATATTGTAAAATACATCAAATGGCTAAAACTAAAAGATGATATCCAGTGTTATCAAGGAGAAAGAAAAATTGTGGCTTTCATATACTTCTGGTAAGGATGCAAATTAGCACAATTTAAAAATCTTTTGGCACTAACCATTAAAGTTGAAGCACACTTCTACATAGATGCCCACTTCTAAGTATATAACCAATAGGAATGTATACACAAAGTAACACTGAGAATATAAGAATGCAAAGTATTATAGAATATTCATACAAATAAATACATTTACACACACATGTGAACAAGCTACAGGTACATGCTACATCATATGTCTCACCAAAAAAAGTAGAGTGAAGAAAATCTAAAGAATATCTATATCTATTAAAACAATAAAATTCACAGCTAGTATTCATGCTTAATGGAGAATGACTTTAAACACTTCCTAGTAAGATCAGTTTAACCATTCTTCAAAATGCTAAACACAGTTGATATGACTTAGTAACACCACTAGTAGATAGGAACATAGGTGATTGATATATAACAGATATATGATAGAAAAAAAATGAACACACATGTCCACACAAAAAATTATGCACAAATGATCATAGCAGCATTAGGAACAAGTCAAATAAAAATCTATCAGCTGAAAAAAAAAATCTATCAGCTGATACGTGAATAAGCAATGTGTATATTTATAAAGTGGAATATTATCCAACTATAAAATGCAATCAAGTACTAATGGATGCTATCACATGACTGAATCTTGAAAGCATTATGCTAAAAGAAATAAGTCAACCACAGAAGATCACATAGATGAGTCCATTTATGTGAAAGGTACAGAACAGGCAAATCCATACAAACAGGAAGTCTCTGTGTCATTGCCTGTGAGGACAGGAAAAGGTAAAAGAGAAAAACTGATTGGTAAAACAGACTGGATTGCTTTTGCATGGTACTGAATTTAGGTTGTGGTGATGGTTGCACAACAAGTGAATACACTAAACATCCTACATTTCAAATAGGTGAATTTTATGATACTTGAAAGACATTTCAAGTAAGACCACAGAAGAAAAAAAATAAAAACACCTAATGAATATAAGTACAAACTTATTCTACTATATGTTTAGGCGTGAATAATTTGGCCACAAAAGAAAAACACATCCCAGAAAAATTGTCCTAACAGTTAAGATAGTAAATTAAGATTATAATTTGAAAGAGGAATTAGATGAATGGGAAAAAACATTTGTACACCAAACATCTGACAGTGGGCTGACATCCACAAAGAACTCACAAAATTCAAAAGATAAAAAAAAATTAAAAATAGTCACAAGAGCTAAATAGGCACTTCTTCAAAGACTTAAAGATGGCAAACAGGTACACAAAAAAATGTTCATCACTTATCAACCACAATGAGATACAACCTCACACTTGTGAGAATGGCTGATATTGAAAAGATCATAAACAATAAGTGTTAACAAAGATGGGGAAAAAATGAAATAAGCCTAAACTGCTAGGAATGCAGATTGGTCCAGACCCCATGGGAAACAATATGGCGGTTTCTCAAAATATTAAAAATGGATCTACAGTATGACCCAGCAATTCCTCTCCTAGGTTATCTACCCAGAGAATACAAAACCATTAATTCAAAGGGAAATATGGAATACTACTCAGCTCCTAAAAAAGATAAACTTTTGCCATTTGTAACAATGGGGATGGAGTCAGGGCATTATGCTAAGCAAAATAAGTCAGAAAGAGAAAGACAAATACCAGATGGGCCACATAAAGTAAAACCAATAATAGCAAGCCATATCATTTCACTATATGTTGAAGCTGCCAGAGGGAAAAGAGGAAAGAAGAGGTGAGAACAAAGTAGGGAGGAAGCTCAATGGACTTACAGTGAAGAACTACGGGTGATTTTATGGGAGGTGTGATATGGTAACAATACCTTAAGCGGGAGATCCTATGCATCTAAAACAGTCAAAATTGTAAGTCAATGTTAATCAGTTAAAATTAGTAAACAGAAAATAGTCTACTTTTAAAAAAATAGCCTCTAATATTTTTATTATTTTCAGTTTCAGGTGTTTCCAAATGAAATAAGAGAATTAAAAAATATAAAATGTATATACACATACACATGTAGAGGGAAGGTGAATATTGGGTTTAATTTTTAAACATATAAAAGGAGGTTCTAGCCTAAGTTCGATCCCTGGCCAGGGAGCTAACCCACAGGCCCAGCAGACCTCTCCTGTCTCACCAGCTGCTTTTCTAAGTGTATTTCAGAAGATTTGCCTGTTCTGCTCCCTACTCTGTCCCTGATGAATCCTCTCATCCCCCCATACCTCTGACCTACATCCATTCTACACAAAAACAAATGTAAAAAAATTTTTTTTAATTACTTAAAAAAATAAAAGGAGTGGCTTGCAATACACTACATATTTATCAATATGCATCACTTTTACATACATAATCTGTATGGTGCAAATATTTGTTTATATAGACATCTATTTCAACTACATCATTTATACAGAAATAGAAGGAAAAGATATACAATAATATAAGTAATATAAAATATATTACAGTGTATCTTCCTGTGCTGTAAGACATGGTGAATTAACCATAAGCATCAATGTTTATTTTGCCTAGTTGACAAACTGGAAATCCCTTCTTTCTTTCCTTGCTGAATGCTGACCACTGAAAGGGCACATCATGTACTCCTTGAGAAAGTCAAGTCAGAGAGCAGAGAAAAGTGCTTGCTAAAATAATTTTCTCTCTTTTCCCAAAAGGGAAAAAACCAGCAGTGGTGATCAGTCCTGCAGAAGGCTCACGACTGAACCCTTGGAAGTCAGTTCCCCTAAATCCAAATAAACTCTAGTCCCTTATGAAGCCTGCTGAGAACACCAAAGGGAAAAAGCATTCCACTTGTTAAATGTTTATTATTTGAGCTTCACAGCCAACTATAATAAGGGAAAGGGGAAGCTGTCTGCAAGCACATGCAGATTTAGCTACTCAAATTCCATGAATGTGAAATAGAACACTGAAGCTGAATCCTTAAAATTTACTAGTAAGTAGCTTGAGGCAGGTGGTGGTTGGGAATAAAGGTTTGGAGCCACTAACATATGGGTCACCGATTTTGAAAGCAGCTCAAGTCAACAAAGAACTAAAATTCTTGACACTGGGAAAAGTGTTGCTTCCTCTAAGAATCACAGCCTAGCCTCCCTCTGAAGTGCAGAATTAAAATACAAATTCTCTAAATCTGCTGCTGAACAGAACTTTCAGGATACTTATGTATTTGTACTGCATTGCATGGAACCTAAAACACAGAGGAGAGTAAACAGTCTCACTAAAAATAAAGATGGTGAGCTCAGTCTTAAACCATATCCCAGTGCTCTGAGCCAAATGCATCCGAGAAAGGTTTTCTGTAGCATGAAGGCAATCTTTTCCAAATAGCCCAGCTCTCATTCTTATGCCAAAAGGAATAGGTAATACCCGCCTTTGTACATCAAGCATAATATTTGGCACATAGCACTTAGCTGCTTACGTGTCTCCCTCTTCCCAACCAGACTAATGTAAACTCCCACTGGAAAATGTTGATCTCATCTTTTGTATTCTACCCCCAGATTCTTGCATAGCACCTTCCAAATAGTAAGTGCATAAAAATGTACCCTCAACATGCCAACGTTTAAAGGGTTGGCTACTATGTAAATATGGACTAACAGATTTCCATGACAGTTAAGTTCTAGATTCAAGTACTGATTTATATCTCATACAAGCCTGTATGAGATATGTTCACTATCATCATTATAAGGGAAATATAAATTAAAGCTGCAGGGAAATATCTCACACCCCAGTGAGAACGGTCTATTTCAAAAAACAACAAATGTGGGCAAGGATGTGGCGGAAAAGAACACTAATCCATTGTTGGCGGAAATGTTATTTGGTACAGTCTCTATGGAAAAATTATGGAGATATTTAAAAAATAAAAATGGAGGGCCCTCCCTGGTGGCTCAGCATGTTAAAGCATAGCACTAAGAAGCTAAAGCTACTTCAGCATGAGTTAGACCCCAGCCCTGGAGGTGACCCACATGGCATGGCAGACCTCTCCTGACCCGCCTGCTGCTCCCCTCAGCAGTACAATTTGTAAGTTGGCCTGTTCTGCTCCCCACTTTGTCTCTGGTGAATCCTCTCAGTGCCCCTGCACCTCTTGTCTATACCCCAGTTCTGTATTCAAATAAATAAATCTTTAAAAAATAAATAAAGGAAAAATGGAAATGCCATATAACTCTGCAATACCTAGGTATTGATCCAAAGCATATGGAAACACTAACACACACACACAAAGTATGCTCATCTATGTTCACGGCAGGATTACTCACAATTGCCCTGTCATGAAACCAACCCTAGCAACCAGGACAGACCACTGGATAAAGAAACTGTGGCTATCTACATAATGGAATACTAGTTTGGCTATTTAAAAAAATGAAATAATGCCTTTGGAGACAAAATGGCTGGACCTTGAGGTGATTATGCCAAGTAAAATAAGTCATAAACTGACAGACAGATAAGGATGGCTTCACTTTCTGTGAACGGAAATAACAAAGAACATATATTGGCAAGCACAACAAAAACAATTCTTAGACTCTGAAAAATAAACTGGTTACCAGAGAGGACAGGGAAGAGGGGCACAGAGCACAGACATGGGAGGTTGGGGGGGAGGGCAAGCGAGGAATGTGCACATATGGAGGAGTAAAAATGTAACCCCAAACTTAAGTAGACGTAACCAACTGAAAAATTAATAATATATAGTCTATCCTAGTCCATTTGGTACCCTCTTGGTGCTTTGGAACATACATTTGAAGAGTTATGAATTTGTACTAAAACACATATAGAAACTTCCCCTCTCAGTACCTAAGCATGTCTTCCCATAAAACTGCTAAAATAACTGTACTAAATAATAACATACAAGACAGAATCCCTATTTGCAAAGTAAAATCACATTGAGTTCTGAGAGAATTTAATGCCACTGATAAATGCTTTCAACTGTGTTAACAGTTTCACCTTAGTAGTAAAACAAATAGAACACCTCAATATACCAATACTCAAGGTTTCTGTTCACTTTGATTTCAGATCATTTGCTTTTCATTAAGCAAATTCCTAATTAGCTCATTAATATATGCCTGATACTATTAGTTTACTATGATTTTTAGCATTATCAGTGTAGGTTTTTCTACAGTTAACTATTTTTTGGATACCTCTTAATTTTTGTTTTTTTCCAGTTGACTTTTTTAATACCCAAATCCACATAGGATTCAGCGAGTTCTACATTTAATTCTCCTTCGGAGTCATTTGGGAGTATTCCTAGTTTCGTTGCAGATTCATAGAGAGAAATTTCATTTTTTAGTTCTGTCAATTCTTCCTAAAACACAAAAGAAATAGAAGTTATTTCCCTTATTTCCCTGTATGAAGGAACCAGTCATCCTATCTGTGCTTTGAAATTCATTTTGTTGATCAATAAACAGAGAACAGAAAGGCTTCTTCAGATACATAATTAAAAGTCACTTTAAAAGGCCAGTTATCCATCAGACTTTCAAATAAACTGATGAAACAAATTAGAAAATGAATGAGAAAGCAAACAGTAGTGTTTCTCACACCTCTCTTGCTTACATTTGTCTCCAAGAAAAGTGTTCCTTAAGCTTCAAGGCTGACCAAGTACTTTTTCTTGCTAGAATAGAGGAGAGAGCACAGCCAGGAACGTGTCGTCCTTTAATCTGCCAGAGGAGCTAACACTGGGCCTCTCCCTTCAACGGCACATAATCTGAGGGTTCCCCACACCTGTGGGTAAACTCGTCTCTGGAGCGCATGGCTGTGAGAGCGCAGGCCTGGGAAGGAGGTGATGGCCAGACTGGCAGCAGAGGGCAGCGCTCTCGCTCAGCAGTGACACACACCTGGCCTTCACTACCCAACTGTGTGGAAAGACTGTCAGTCACTCTCCTGGGCTACTTTGGAGATGATCTGAATTTGTCTTTTAAAGAAAACAATCCAGGTTCCAAAAGGTGACAGTCCCCAAATTCAGTTACCAGAGTATCTTCCAAGAGGTAACCTCACCTGCAGAGCCTTGTTCATGCTTTCGCTCATAGCATGCGCTTTCTGTGCTTGCTGCAGCTGGAGTCGGAGCTGAGCCACCTCCTGTACTGAGCCTGTGGGGGAAAGAATCACAAAATACACCAAATATGAAGGGACAAAGTACCTGTTGTATACAGAAGAACTATAATCCACTGAGGCTAACAAAGATAGAGTCCTGCTTTATTACCTTTTTTATTATCTTTTTAGGAGCATAAAGATACAGCCAGGGAGACTCAGAAGCAGTAAGTCTGGTCCAGACATTTCCAAGGCTTAGTACAGTTTCCCATATGCCCTTAGAGAGTTAAGACATGGGCTATTATAACCTTGCTCTGAATGAAGTCAGCTGTAACATTCGTTTATAGGAGCATTAACATTAAGCTCATAGAAAACCAAAGAAACCAAAGAAAAAATTATTTGGAGCCCATTTCTAATATGTAATAGAAAAATGCATCTTGTTGCTACCTTTAGCTTCTTTCTAAGTGCTTTTATTTCCACCACCTCCACCGTCCACATGCGAAAGAGACATATTAGGATTGTGCTTGTGAAACGTCAATAAGTCACTATTTTAAATGTACCAGGGGAGATTCCCATTTTAAAGAGACATTGTCAAGTGTCCTTAAAGGAAATCAGCATCTAGGACATGATTAAAGTAATGATGGCATTTTATCCCTCTAAAGAAAATCATATTTCTAAGCGCTTAATGCCAGGGCTCCCTAAGAAATGTCACATGCAACAAAAGGATAGTAACAGAGAGGACATAAATAATGACATCCCTCCACCAAAACATACACAGCTATGTAGGCAAGTCTTTGACATGAGTGCTTTCAACTCTTGAATAATCCAACCTCACACACATTGTACCAACTGTCCAGACTGAAATTCTCATGTCACAGTGTGATCTTCATAATCAGTGAAGGAATAACCACTATTTTCACAGTGTAAGTTACCAGCAAACAAGGTAGTTTTATCTATACAATAATGTTTGCATTAACCTGTGATTATGTATTGCCTTTTATGCTAATATTTTATGAAAAATTAGTAAGAAAATAAAGGCATTATTGAAACTAATACTAGGAAACATATCTCTCAAACTTAGTACCATGGAGACCATACTAGAATTTTTTTTTTTAAAGATTTATTTATTTGTGCATACAGAACTGGGGTACAGACCAGAGGCACAGGGGCGGTGAGAGGCTTCACCAGAGACAGAGTGGGGAGCAGAACAGGCAGATCTACAAAGTACA